CCCCAGAGTTCTGGGATTTCAGGTGTGCATCACCATGCTTGGCTAAATAACATTTCAAAATGGGAAACAAATTTTTCCAAATTTAATAATATAGTAAGAAAAATTACTTAACTTTTTCTGGGGAAATCCTTTTACATTTGGCTTAATGAGAAAGAGCTGATTTTTCATGTCCCTATATCTAATCTTTTGGTATCACATATCAGGTGAAAAGCTCCTCCGTATGAAAGAAATGAGTGAAACACGGAAGGAAAAAAATGTTTAGCCATAATCCTAGCATTCAGGAGGCTGAGGCAGGAGGAATGCAGCAAGTTCACTGCATAGTTCAAGCCTAAACTACAGAGCAAGACCCTATCTGCAGAAAAAAACAAAAAGAAAAGCAAAAACAGAAAAGAAGCCAAAAAATGTTCTGGTTGCATGTAGTAATAGCTTGCAACAGTTTCAAAAGTTGAGGCTTTTTAGACATACAGGGCTACCCAGACAACTGCTCCTTTCTTTGTCCTGGAATGATTCACAGCCCACCTCAGTCAATCACCCAGTCAGGTGATTTTTCCTACTGCTGTGGGGACTATGTAACAGTTCCCTTATTTCCAAGGCTGGCTCGGCCAAACAAGCTACACAATGTATCCCAGGTACCCCAATTCTCAGATTCATAACTGCTTTGCTTTGCCAGCCATTTTAAAAGCAACATTACTAGGGGGTACCTGGATTTGAACCGGGGACCTCATGATCTGCAGTCAAATGCTCTACCCTCGAGCTACACCCCCCCCCCCAGGAGGGAAGATCACAGTGTTAATGTAGTGTGCACTAGCTGGGCTGATGGTACATCCAGGAATCCCAAGCTTCTGGGAGGCTGAGGCAGAAGGATCATAAGTTCAAGCGTGGCCTGGACAATTTAGTGACTTGGCAAGAATTTGTCTCAAAATAAAAAATAATAAGGACTGGAGATGTAATTCTGTGCTAAGGCTCCAAGTTCGATCTCCGGGGCTGAAAAAACAAAGCTTCATTTCTTTTATTATCAATGACCTACCTCAGAAGTTTGGATGCTCTCTGCATTTACTTTTTGTTTGTTTTTATTTGAGACAGGGTCTCACCGTACAGTTCAGGCTGGCCTTGAACTCACAATCCTCCTGCCTCAGCCTCCAAGTTCTGGGATTACAGGTGTGTACCACCTCAGCCGGTACTCTTAGGGGCCACTTTGGAACATTGGTCCATATTTGTTTTTTGTTGGTCCATATTTCAAAAAAATGTTTTCCTTGTTCCTTTCAGGTGCTGAGTATTCCCCTGAATCATGCAAGGACCTAAATCAAGTCTTAACCCCAAGGAGGGAGGGGCTTCAAAGAACGCTCCCCAGAAATAAAAGGAATTCAGATGTGTCACATACATGTTTCAACTCCCCACGATGGAAGTTATCAATGCGGACTGCAAACACATACTAATAAAATAAATAAATAAAAATGTTAGTACCATCAGGCACAGCCATGGCAGCCAGGAAGGCCCGCACCAGCCAGGCAGCCAGGCCCGGAGAGGGTGTGCAGTGTGTAACCCAACCGTGTCACCGTGCTTGCTCAGTGGGATCTGGGCCTGAAACCTAAGCCATGATTATAAATGCATTATGCATAGAAATTTTTGCTTCTTTACTTAAGTATAACTGACAAAGCATGCAAAAAAAAAAAGTAAAAAAAGTTAATGGATAGGTATCAAGTACCTAATATAGTATACTAGTGCCAGTTGAAAATTTAAAATTCTTTCAGCTGTGATCTCAACCCTGGGCTGGCTGAGGCAGGAGGATCTCTGTGGGTTTGAGCCCCGCCCTGGGTTACCTAGTGAGTTCTGGGATTACACCACTAGCCACCGAGCTGGGCTGGAGGTGTTTTGTTTTGTTTTTGGTACTGGGGATCGAACTCCCTCTGGTCTTTGGGCTTGTGCAGCAGGCGGCAAAACCACTAAACTAAATCCCCAGGCCTGGAGGTATCTTTTTAAACTCGTGTTTTGTTGTTATTTTTTGAGAGGCCAAGAGGAAGGTTTCTGCATACAAGTTTGTAACAGTTTGTTCTCCAGCTTGTTAAGGGAGAGAAAAGGATGGGGCTGTGGATAAACAATTAAGCCTAGAAGAGACAGATGGGTCCCGGCATGGTGGCACACGTCTGTAATCCCAGTGAGTTCAAGGCCAGCCTGGACTGCATAGCAAAACCCTGTCTCAAAAGAAACTCAAAAAAGGGCCGGGGATTCAGCTCAGTGGTTCAGCCACCTGCCTCACAAGTGCAAAGACCCGAGTTTGAACCCTGGTACCAAAAAAAAAAAAAGCAGACTGGACCCTAAATTCATGTGTTTTCAAACTGCCATGTTTGCAGGGTTTTTTTGTTTGTTTTTGAGACAGGGTCTTACTATATAGTTCAGGCTGCCCTTAAGCTCACTGAGTCCAGGCTGGCCTTTGAGCTTGTGAGAATCCTCTTGCCTCAGCTTCCAAGTGCTGGGATTACAGGCGCGTGCCACCACACCTGGCTTCAATTTTTCTTTTAGTCTGTGCTGTCTCACTGATAAATTAGATATCCAGTAAAAAAGTGGCTGTCTTGAACAAGCATCAGTATGGAAAACTTGCAAACCATGTAAATGGATTTCCCAGTAGCAAGCCAGCAGAGGGGGTATAGCTCAGTGGTAGAGCATTTGACTGCAGATCAAGAGGTCCCCGGTTCAAATCCGGGTGCCCCCTTGGTGACTCTACATTTTCCACACGCACTGGGGTATAAATCAGAACCTCTGAAAGTCAATCAGAACATCTAGAAGTCAGTGATTTCCGCGTCCAAGTCTCTGAAGATGTCCTTTGCCATTTACTCATAATTTTCTGTTCTTGGGAAGTTCCTGGTATCTGAGAACTAGAGAGCAGCGACCCTTGCTGGCGAGTGGTGAACACTCAACAGTGTGAGAAACTCTCCAGTACTCCCAATAGTTTGGGCTCCCACTCAGTCTTATTTTAAACACTATTCACCGACACTGCTTTTATGTTTTTTGTTTACTTTTTCTTTTTTGAGACAAGGTCTTGCTATGTAATTCAAGCTGGGCTTGAACTCATGGTGTAGCCCAGGGCGGCCTCAAACTCTCAGAGATCCTCCTGCCTCAGCCTTCCAATGTTGGGATTATAGGCCTGTGCCACCACTCTCTGGTGTCAATGTTAATTATGATTTGGTTTTGGGTAAAAAATGGCATGTTGGGGTTAGGGCAATATTCCTTTGCTAGGTCATCCCTGACAAGATTATGAGGACGAATCCAGGTTCAGGCGTAAGAGGATGAGGGGTGACAGGCTTCCCTCTCCGAAGGGGCTCGGGGCAGAACTCAGTCCGATCCCCTGCAGAGGCCCAGTCCGGGTCGGGTGCAGGGCAGGGCTGGCCGCCGGGCTCTCTGTCTAGCATGAGCTCCACCTCCCCATTCAGCCCAGGAGCTCCAGGAATGGGAACCGGGGGGAAAAATGCGCGGAGCATTCCCCGGGGTCCCTGGGGATGACACAACCAGATTCCGAGTTTTAAATATCACCGCTGCCCCCCTGACCCAGGCAGCATGCCTCTGTCCGTCTCCCTGATTTTTCCTTTTTTTGGACAAAATCTAATAGAGGGGCCGCTCTTGCTTCTCCCTCAAACTTTATGATCTGCTTCCCCCTCAGCAGTGCGGCTGTCAATCACGCGCCGGCACACAGCGGGACCTATCTTTAGGGCCCGAAACTCCGGTGCTTCTCTACGGGTGGTCCCGAGCAGGCACCACCCAGGAAACTGTTCAAAATGCAAATTCTCTGGACCGGGCAAGATGGAGCACGCCTGTAATCCCAGCACTAGGGAGGCTGAGGCAGGAGGATCGTCAGGGATCCGAGGCCATCCTGGGCTAGGTAGTCAGACTGTCTCAATAGGCCCCTCAGGTAACTCCACTGTGCGTTCAAGTCTGAAAACCACTGCCTTCTTTTATACCAGGTTGCAGCGGGAAGTCACCTTATTTTTGTAGTTTAATTAGAATGGGTGTGATGGAGCCGCGTGTGGCGGCACGTATCTGTAACACCAGGACTCAAGTGGCTGAGGCAGGAAGGTCGCCCTGAGTCCAAGGCACTCAGAACTGCTCTAACATTCTCCAAGCCCTTTTACCATCACTGGGAATAAAGACAGTGGGGGGGGGGGTTCATCTTTTCACCCCTTCGGAAGCGGAAATTCAACTTGGGAGAGCCCGCATGACCCCAGCTCCAGCTGGACACGCATCCACACCTCCTGCTGGCAGAAAGCAAAACTGAAAGATTCTTGCTAGAGCTGGAAAATGAGGAAAGAACTTGTGTTTTGTTTCTGTTTTGTTGTGACCTAAATCAAGCGCTGAAAATACAAAATGGGACAAACCAGTTTGGGAGGATTAGAAAAGTCTTCGAGGGGGCACCCGGATTTGAACCAGGGACCTCTTGATCTGCAGTCAAATGCTCTACCACTGAGCTATACCCCCGCACCGCTAAAACGCTGAGAAGCGGCTCTTTTGGGTGCGGCGAGACCATTGTGGCTGCTACGCTACAAGGAGCGAGGAGGAAGAAGGGATGAAGGAAGAAAGAAGGGGTTAGAGAAAGGCAGAGGTGCCGGGGCCGGGGGCCCGGGGCCCGGGGAGGGACAGGTTCCACCCCTCAGACTGGGGCGCGGGGAGGACGTGGGCTAGGAGGAAGCTCGCGGGGGGCGGGGCAGGGGGTTCCCGATCGTCCGCAAGTTCACGCCCTGCACCACCCTGGAGGAGGAAAAGTCCCAACCCGGGTGGATCCGCCCCTTCCAAGACCACCCTCGACGGCGCGAGACCCTGCGCGTCCCTGGAGCCGGGCGCCCTGAGGAACAGCGAGACAGGTCCTGGGACGCAGTGCGCGGCCGGCCAGGAGCAGTGGAGTCCCGGCACTCTGGCCCGGATCCGCCCGCGCGCAGCCCACGCCGGCGGGGAGCGCGCCGCGCCGCGCACCACCCCCGCTCGTGCCCGAGGCGCGCCCCCGCCGCCCCGCCCCTCCTCCCGGTGTTTATTAGGGGAGGGAGGCGGAGGCGGAGGCCAGTTCCCTAGCTCCAGACGCCTCGTCCGTACCGTCGCAGCCGCTGTCGCCGCCTGCCCGCCAGCCTCGGGTCGGAGAACGCGCGCAAGCTCGGGCGTCCCGCTCCAGCCTCTCCAGAAGCCACCATGAACCCCAACTGCGCCCGGTGCGGCAAGATCGTGTACCCTACGGAGAAGGTGAACTGTCTGGATAAGGTGAGCCCGCATCCCGGGGCGCCTCTCGGCAGTGCTGGATCCCGGAGGAGGAGGAGAGGGGGTGGGTCTCGGCCGCCTCCTCCCTGCGATCGGGGAGCAGCGAAGGGCAGCGGGCTGCGGGGACCGACCCTGTGTGCACGCCGGGGAGATCGGGTGCGGCGCGCGCAGCCAGTGGTGCAGGAGGGGGTCCCGCGCCCTGGAGCTCGGGGACAGGGGGTTCAGGCCCGGGGTGTGTGCAGGGGTTTAGGGGTGCAGTCCCGCGCCCCGGCCGCGAGGGCGAGCGCGGACGGCCGCTCCCTCTCCCGTGGCGCCGAGCGCCAAGTAGGCGGAAGCGCGGGCTGGGGGAGGGGGCGGGGGCGGGGGCGGGGCGCGGCGGGGACGCGAAGCCGCGGCTCGGCCACCCCGGCTTCCGGGCCCCGAGGCTGGGGCGGGGGCTGTTGGCCGCAGCGCTCGAGCCGGGTGTAGGGCGTTCCGGGCGAGCCCCCACGCGAGACCCCTTTTTTGAACGACCTGGGGCCCCCTTGGTCTGGGGGACCCGCAGATTTTCCCCAATGCTTCCCAACCCCCCACCTTGAATTACTAGCCACCTCCCGGGGCTGGGGAGCCTGGCGCGAGCCTGCGGGGTTGGAGGCTGGGGTCGAGTGGGTGGGGTGGGTAGGTAGTGCGCGCCTTGTAGGGATCCCCTGAAACTGTGCTCTGCCGGCAGACCTGGCTCATGGAACAAAGAGCTAACTTTTCAAAGAAGGTTTCTCCAATGGAGGGTGGGGTTGGCTGGGTTCTGGGGAAGCCGAGGAAAGGGGGAGGTGTCGCCGGGGGAGGAGGTTGGCCTTCTGGAAATGCACTGTCCCCTGGGGACCCTTAGGAGGCCTCCCCCGCAAGCTGGACTCTTTCATCTGGTTGCCATTACACTTTCAGAGCGGGTGGCAGCTAGAGCTGGGTGTTGCCAACACGCTTTGGGGTAGGATCCTGTCCTCTTGGAAGCGCTGCCCCCCCCAACCCTTGTATCCCCACGCCCACCAGGCTCCAAGTCCAATTGTCCCCTCCTTTCCGTCCACACTGGCAGGAGTGGGGGGGGCCTGCAGGAGAGAGGGGCGTGGGTTTTGTTCTGGAGTGATGCTTCCACTGGATCCGTCGCGCTCCACCCCCACCCCCATCCCCGGGGTGGCACTTCCTCCGTGACCTTTGGCCGGAGTCAGGGTGAGGAGGCTGGGCTGGAAAGATTCAGAAACGCTTCTGAGCTTGCTCTCTGGGGAAGGGGAGGTAGGGCTGGGGCTGTTTCCCTGTCCTGTACTCGACAGGGGAAGAGGAGACATACTGTGGGCACTGGGGTTACCCTGGCGGTGGAGAAGCCACCCCTGGAGTACCGAGGGACTTGGCCCCTGGAGGGAAGGGATTCTGGAGTCCTGGGCCCCTCTTCCTGCTTGCTCTGACTGAGGCAGGGACAGTGTAGGCTGGAAGGGTTGGCAGCTGGGGAGTTGTATGTAGGTCTGCTCTCCCAGCCTTATGAATGGCTCTGGGCCTCAATATCCCTATTCGGTTGCCTGTGATGCCACCTTTGCCTGGTAGGGGATGTAGTCTAGGCTGTGCCCATCTTACCTTTCCTTGGGAAGACCTTTGATGGCCTGTGTCAGAGAGGAGAGAGCAGGGACCTGCAATTCGCCCTCCCCAGCTGTTCTTGTCCTCTGGGAAGTGGAAGTGGGTGAGTCCTCCAATTTTTTTTTAAAACAGTCTTGCTAGGTAGTTCAGGCTGGCCTTGAACTCTGTGTAGCCCAGGCTGGCCACAAACTCTGGTGATTCTCCTGCCTCAGCCTCCCAAGTGCTGGGATTACAGGAGTGTGCCATCATGCCTGGCACCCTCCGTTTTTAGAACTCACCCACTTCCAGGAAGTTTTGCTAGAAAGACCTGTCCCCTCCTTGCTGTCTTGAGCCAGAGGCTTGGAATCTCCCGATGTCAGGCCAGTTCCTTGCCACCCCTGCAGGGCAGGGAGGACAGGCACTGGAATAGGGAGCGAGTGCCTGTGGGCTGATGGGCCAAGACAGGAGTGGGACTGGTCTGCCCCTTAGCACTATCGCTACCAGGCTCCCGGAGGCTTCCTGCTTGCAGGCCGGAGGCTCAGCCTTGCCTGTTTACTGCCATCCCCTATGGCCAGAGCCTGGGCAGGAGCTGTGTCCTTGGTCTTTTCTCCTCCCTGAGCCTTATCTCCCAAAGGCAAAGGTGGATAGAATCCCTGTCACCTCTGAAGGCCACCCCGCCCTCAGCACAGGGGAGGGGTGGATCCAGCCTGCCTTAGTGTTTAACTATCTAATGCTCTGTTCAAGGAAGGAGGGGGAGATTTGCTTCCCCAGAGGGCTTCTGGGATTCTAGCAGGGGGAGAAACAGAGGGACTTTATTCAGTTGTTCATTCAGCAGGTATTTATTGAGCACCTGCTTTGTGCACCTGCTTTGCATCCAGGGACCTGTGTCATTGAGTCCTGGCCTGCTGCCCCTGGCTTCTGAGAGCAGGTGGAGACAAACAGGAAGGGGTGGGTTGGTTTGGTTCCAGTTCCCCAGGAATCGCCTAAGAGCTGCTGTAAATAGTAAACCCTTTGTGGGATCCTCTCTAACTTCCAGACATTGTGAATGAATTCGCACCCTGGGCTCCAGGTCAGCTCCTCAGCTCCTCAGCTCCTCTGTAAATAGAGGAAAACACTTTCACCTCTGCTGATTAGTGTGGAAGGTGGGTCCTACGCCCTCCTGAAGGCCTGGAGGAAAACTCAGGGCCTGGGGTTTTGCAGGTTGGTGCTGGAGGGGGGCAGTGTGTGTGTGCTAGGAATAATAATGACTTCCTGCACCAGTGGGGGAGGTGACACACCCCAGTCATCCCAGCTGAGGCGGGAGGATTTGAAAGTTCAGTCTCAGTGTGGGCAACTTAGTGACTTAGCAAAATTGTGTCCCCAAATGAGAATCATAAAGAGTAGCTGGGGCTGGAGCTCAGTGTGAGGCCCTGGGTTCCATCTCCAATACCAAAAAACGCAAAAAAACCTGGAATTTGTGGAGGTCTAGCAAAGATCTGTTTTTTTTTTAATTTTATTTTTTGCAAGATCTGTCTTTTTGTTTTGTTTTTTTTGAGGCAGGGTCTCGTTATGGAGTCTAGTAGTCCAGGCTGGCCTCGAACTCGAAGGGATCCTCCTGCCTCTGCCTCCCGATTGCTAGGATTACAGGCATGTGCCACCAGGCCAGCTTGCAAGATCTCTGCCTTCAAGCCAGTAGCCCAGGTGGCCCAGTGAGCTAAGCTGGTGACTACCAGGGTGGGGCTGGCACTGCTTCTGGAGGAGGAAAAAAAAGCCCAGGGCAACAGGAAGGGAGGTGAAGATCCCAAGCTCCAAGGCTGAGTCACAGCCTCCCCAGGCAGGGCCCCGGCCTGCAGGCGCTGTCACCTGAGGCCCCTGTGCCCACTGCAGAGCTAGGCAGGGGCACCCTGGACCCTTGCAGGCTCTGTCCTCTGGCCTGTTTCCTTTTCTGTGGGGTGGGTTTTCCACAGAGGGATTTGGGGATGTAAAGGGAGCCAGAGGGCAGCCTTCCCGAGCGAGCGAGTGGCTCCTCTGGTGCACGGGCCTGGCCTGGGGCTGTCTGCTCTGTGAACTGTGGCAGGCAGGTTCACTTTGCTCTCCCAGTCCTGAGTGCCACGAATACTTAGCTCAAGTCTTCTCCGAGGCTTTTTAAAAAAGATGTGATGAGCCTCCTGCCTCAGCCTCCTGTGTGCTAGGATGACAGGCATGCATCACCATGTCCAGCTCATGGGGTTAGGGAAAGGTGACAGGCTGGAGCTGCTGGGTTTCCTGGCATCGTGGGAGCCGGAGTCGCTGCATGTCTGTCCCGCCAGGGTGCTCTGTACAGAGGTTTTAGCTCCACTTTCCAGGTGTGGAGACAGCTCAGCTGCTACCCTGCTGGCACTTGGTCCCCTGTTCTGGGACAGGTGAGGACTGTCATCCCCTGTCCCAGCCTCGGCTGTGTCTTGTAGTCCTCAAGGAACTCTGGGGGCACAGCTCTCTAGGGGCTTCTCTCCTGCCCTGGGCAGTGTTTGGGGATCCTGTGGGGCCCCTGGCCTTGACACGCACCCCAGCCCAGTCGGTCAGGGGCCTCTGTCCCCCACCCCACACCCTGGGTTGGCCCGGGCGGCCATCTGCTTGGTGGGGTGTCTGTTTCTCCCCCGCGTCAGTCTGGGCCTGGAGGTCCCCAGGACCGCGCGCTCCCACATCTGTGTGCAAAGTGGGTCACGGTCTGGATTCCGAGAATGTTTTTCCTGGCGGCCCCTTTGGGGGTGGAGGAGGTGGGGGCCAGCGGCTCCTCACGGGCAGAGGCTGGCAGAGGCTGGCGGACTGGGGTTGGCAGTGGGAGGGGGCTGTCACTCTGGGGGCCTAGAGGGGCGGGAACCATCCTGGTTCTGCTTTCCCTGTGCACCGCGTGGAGTCAGGCAGATGACAGCTAGGGCTCTGGGGTCCCAGTGAGGTGGGGCCCCATGAGCTCAGACCCGCCCCCCGCCCCCCTTCCTCGACTCCCAGACGCCCAGACTCCCAGCTGCCTTCTCGGCAGAGTGGTTGATGTTGCACCCTGAGGGTTTTCCTCCAGGTCTCCTGGGTGGGGAAAGCACCCCATGCAGAGAATGGTCATCCCTGAAATCAGCCTGGTGGTCCCTGGTTAAGGTGGCCGGTATGAGGCCCGAAGTGAATCCCAGCCCCTCGCTTCCTTCCTTCCTTCCGCCCCTCTCAGTCTCAGGAGCACTTGGAAAGCACTGCCTTGAGGGCTCCTGGTCCCTCCCAGGCCTTGGGGTGCTCAGGGTAGGGACAGCTAGAGCCGGCAGCATCGGAAACCCTGAGGGCTTCAGGGCTCAATTGAAGTTGCTTTGCAGGAATTTTCCAGAGCCCAGCTTGGGCGTGGCTTTCCTCCGGGGTGGGGTCCCCTCTGCTTGGCCTTCTCTGCCTGCCCGCTCCTGCTCCTTGCCCAGGGCTCCCCGCCCAGGTCCATCGCTGCCATCCGCGCCCAGCGCCTGACACTGGGCCGCCACTGCCCAAGATCACGCAGCTTTGACTGATGACCTCTTGGGCTCAGCAGGGCACAGGATGCTGGGTGCTGCCCTCCTTTCCACCCAGGTGCAGGAGGGAGGGGTACACAGCACGCGGGTGCAGGGCCTGCAGCACGGGATGCTCACCCCGCTCCTGGTGGGGCCACGGGAAGGAGGAGGAGCTGGAGCACGGAGAGATGGGTTGTGGGGGGCATGTGCACAGGTGGGAGGTGGGAGGACAGGACGGGGTGCCTGCGGCCTGGGCCCTCCTCTTGCCAGGCCCCGTGTGGTTGGAGAGCCGCCCCTTCCTGCCCAGCTCTGCTTCTTAGCAACCTGAGTGTTGCTCTGCATGAACAATGAAGCCTTTCCAGCAGGGAACGCGGGTGGCTGAGGTGAAGCTGACCTGGGGGCTCTTCCGCCCATTCCCAGGCCTGCCTTCTCCCCATTCTGCCCCTCCCTGGCCGGCTGATGGGGGTGGGCGGGGATGTTGTCAGCCACTGGAACCTGTGACCTGGGCCACGCTGCCATCTGACCCCTGTCCCCCGGTGTCTCCACCTGCAGTTCTGGCATAAAGCATGCTTCCATTGTGAGACCTGCAAGATGACCCTGAACATGAAGAACTACAAGGGCTACGAGAAGAAGCCCTACTGCAATGCGTGAGTCCTGCGTGCCGGCCGGGGCTGGGGTGGGCGCTGCTCCCTCGCCTTCCTTCCTTCCTCTCTTGAGAACGGCGAGGTGACCCTGCGGGCATTTGCACACCCTGCTGTTTGTGTCACAATCGTGTGTCTTCACGACAGCTGGGTGCCGCAAGGGCTCTTCCTGTTTCCATTTTACCAATGAGGAAACTGAGGCTTAGGGAGGGGACTTTGTGAAGATCGCATGGCTGGGAATACGGGACCTGCTGCGGGACCTGCTGCGTGTCTGCCCAGTTGTCACTGGGATTGGGATCGGGCTCCCTTTGGCCTTCTCTTCCCTCATTTCTCTCCTGTCAGCAAGGGCTGGGGTTGGAGAGGCCGGCGTCTCCTACCCCAGTGTGACACTGCTGTCCCCTCTCTTGCATCTAGAGATGCTGCCGATTCCCATTCCAACCCCACGAGTAGCAAATCCCACTCGGCCTTAGGTCTGAGGCTGGTGTGAGGCCTCACACCACCTGCTAGGTGGGGGCTGCAGGTCAGGTCCCTTGCAAATAAGTGGCAGGATCAGTATTCAAATGAGTTTGGGATCTGATTTGAATGTAGCCTTTTGCTTCCCCTTGGGAGTAGGAAAAAGAGCAGGACAGTTTCTTGCGTGCGGAGGCCTGGGAGTGTTGGGTTAATTCTCAGACAGGAGGCCCTTTGGAGCCAGAGTTCAGGCAGGAAGGGAAACTCAGGACTTGTCCAAGAGGGCTTGGGACCAGGTGGTCCCTTTGAGGGGCTATCACTCACATAGTCACTCGCAGTGCCCTCCTGCACCTGGGCCTCACCTTGAGGCCTTGGAAAGATCATCACCCATTTATTGTCTACCTGTGGCAGCTGTCTGGAGAGCCAATTTTGGATAAGATCTCAAGTCCAGGAGGCGAGTGAATGCTGCCCTTTCTGAAGGACTGGGCCCTAGGCAGGTGTCCTGGGTAGACTGGAAGGCCGTGCTCAGTCAGTGCTGCTGCTGCAGCTGCTGTTCCACCAGCTGCCCCTGGCTCAAACCCCAGCCCCTCCCAGCCCCAAGGGAAATGGGACATTCTTTGAATTCTTCTGGGCTCACACCAGCCCTGACTCTGCCACTGCTTCCCTCCTTTGGGGATCCGGGTGGGGTTCAGAGAAGCCCAGACACTTAACCCCATAGCTGCTGGACACTGGACCAGGAGCAGAGGGTGGCAGGAGCCCAGTGCGTCTTCCTGTCGCTTCCAGAGATTCCAGCAGCCTAGAACTCAGCGCTGGGAGTTGGAGAAAGAAATTGGAGCCCTGTCCTTGTTTTCCTTGCATTTCTCAGCTTTGTGCCACAGTTCCGGCTCACTTTGTCCCACTCTCTTCTGGGGAACTCAGCAGCAAGTAGGGGTCCTGGGGATGAAGGTCCCCTGTCTCCTGGTGTCCAGCCCGAGAAGCAATGTGACCCTTTCCACTTTCCTGTCCAGCTTTTCGGCCACGCCCAGCTAGGAAGGACCTGGCTGAGAGGGGAGAGCTTGACAGCTGTGAGCCAGCTTGGGGTGGGGGAGAGCCAGATGTGGGTCCATTGGTGATGAGCCCTCTGCACCGTCTGAGCTTTGGTTTCCTCGTAGTTCAAGAGTCCTACCCAGGGACGCTGGACCCTGCCCCAAAGAGGACCTGCTAAGTGCCAGACACTTGCTGATCTTTCCTCTTGGGTTTTTTTCCCCTTGTTGTGCTGCTGGGGATGAACCCAGGGCCTTGTCCATGCTGGTCAAGCCCTTGACCACTGACCCACGCCCCAAACCCTCCCATCCATTTGGTTTTTTTTTGGTACTGGGGATCGAACTTGGGTCCTTGCCTTCGGCGAAACCACTGAGCTAAATTCCCGGCCCTATTTTGTTGTTTTGAGACAGGGTCTCACTGTGTAGTTCAGGCTGCCCTCAAACTTGCAGCGATCCTTCTGCCTCAGCCTCCCAAGTGCCCCTCCTGCTTTCTGTCTGCCTCTGGCCCTGTCCCTCGGTGAGGGTCAGCTTCCTGAATCCTGAGTGTCCGGGTAGGGCTGTCTCCTGGGCTGGGCCAAGCCCTTTGTGGGCCCCACAGGTGCAGGTGGTGGTATCTCGTGGCGCTTTGCCAGGGTCCTGGGCACCTGCAGTGAATGTGGATATGAGCTCATGCACAGGCACTGGGTTGACCCTGGAAAGTGACTGAAAGCAGGAGCAGGCCACTTCTGGACTCCTGACTTCCAGGTTGGAGGAACACTGGTGCCCTTGCTGATTTGTTTTGTAAACTAGATTCACCAGCTCCTGGCCTCAAGGGTACCTGCTTCCTGGTCTTGCAAAAGACTCCCAGCCCCAGGGCATGGCTCTGGGCCGGAACCAGCCTTTGGGGTGCCAGGGGCTGGGTGTGGGCTGGGAACTGAGGGGCTCAGTTGCACCTTTTCCTTCATCATTGATTTTAGATGTCGGGGTTCACCCAGCAGTTTGCTTGAGGTGTGGGGTGAGGGGCTGGGAGGACAGAGATGTCCTTGGTCCTGGGGCATTGGGGACTGTGCTCCTGCCCCCTCCCAAGGCCTGAGAGGGGCGTGGGGTCAGGTCCACTTCGCTGGGTTTCTGTGTACCCCAACTTGGCCTTGAACTCCCTGTGACCCCCCTGCCTCAGCCTCCCAAGTGCTAGTACTGGGAATGTACTGTGCCCAGCTTTGTTTTATTTTCTTCTTTTTCGTGTGTGTATAGCTTTGTTGTCCCTGAGGGCTGGGAAGTCCTTCCTCCAGTCTGCCCTTGATCTATCGGACTTTGCCTTTTCCCCCTCTGGTCAGACAACCCTTTCTTGTTGCCTCCTGTCCCCAGCTTTGCCCCTGGGTCTGGGGGGACAGGAGGGGAAAGGAGCCTGAGAAGGTGGGTTAGGGAGCCCTTCTGCTGGTCTAGGCAGCGTCGCCAACAGGGGCTTTGGAACCCGCAGCTCTGACCAGAGGCAGGGTGTCAGGGCCGTTTTTCTGGTGTGTTTTTTGTTCTGGTTTTTTTTTTTCCTTTTGGTAAAACCTTAAGCTCCTTGTTGCTTTTGTCCATGTATTTTTGTTATTCCTTGAACACAAAGCTGTGGTTTTGAAGGGGCCCAGGCCTGGAGGGGCTGAGGTTCCTGTGGAAAGGGGAGCTGGGTGTCGGGTCTGTGTTGCCCCTGGAGTGGGGCTGGTAGCAGAGCGAGGCACTGTCCCTGACCCCCAGGAGCCGTGCCTGCCCTTGAGGCCTTCGGAGGAGGAAGGTGACCCAGGTCCTCAGGGTGACCCCTCTCCTGGGACAGAGACTGCCTGTCTGCTACCACAGGTCACTGTCTGTCCCTGGAAAACCCCCACTTTTGGAATTTTGTTGTTGATGTGCTTCTGAGACAGGCTCTCACTGAGTGGCTCAGGCTGGCCTCGAGCTCTCAGCAATCCTCCTGCCTCAGCCTCCCCAGTGCTGGGATTCTAGGTGCATCAGCATGCCTGGCCTGTAATACCGAAGTCTGGCAGTGAACTTCAGGGCAAGGTGCACGGGACACAAGACAGGGCCACTTTGTGGCTGCCCCGTGTCCCGAGGGCCAGGCTGCTGCCTGCACCTTTCTTCCAAGCCACCCAACTTCTTGGTTGTGCCCTTCCCCTGTCCCGGGCATCCTGTCCAGCAAGCTGCTCCCTAAAGCTCCTGGCACAGGGAGGAGTGGTGTGGGGCCCCGGACTGGCCTGAGAAAAAGAGCACTGTGCTCTGGACTCTGCTCCCTGCTGGGTCCTCGAACCCTGCCCTGCTGCCCCTCACCTGTCCTGTCTGTTGTGGGGCTGGGTTCCAGCTGGGATGGTGTCCCTGTGTCTGTCTTAGAGTCCACGTTGGTGCACGAGCACACGCTCACACACCCCTCCTCCATCCAGCCTGGAATCTGAGGGTGAGGGCTGTGGGGAGAGGACAGAGGAGGTCAGGTCAGTAGGAGTCTGCTTCAGAGCCCGCCGTGTTGGTGGAGGAGGGGCGAGCCACCTCCCTCCTAAGACCCAGGCTCCTGTCCTTGTCACCTTGTCATGACCGGGCTCCTGCGAAGCCTCCTGGATTTGGCTTTGTGTGGTGGCCTTCTCCTTGGTGGAGGACGCCCATGGAGTGATGGCTGCGGCTCTCCCCTGCCCCCATCCACACCCCGCAGACCCCTCTCTCTGCCTGCTCTTTCGCCTGGAGCTGAGGATGCAGTTGCCATGGGAACCTGAAGCCAGTGAGCAGGGGAGGGAGATGCTGGGTTGTCTTACCAGGTCTGGGGGCTGGGGGCCGACCTGGCAGGGGGAAGTGGCCCGCAGGGGTGGGTCGGAAGCCCTGGGGCTCCTCTTTCGTTTAGTTAATCTGCCTCCAGATTAAAATCCTTCAAAGCACCTGGCAAATTAAACTGAGTTAAAGTCTAGGCTGGTTCACCCCCCCATCCTTTTTGATGGATTAGGGTTCTGGTTCTGGGGGCCTGAGACTGGGGATGACAGGGTCCCTAAGGAGGATGGAGCACCCTCGGCTCAGTCCTGAGCCGCCTGACAAGGCAGGGTCGTGGCCTGGGTGTGGGGCGGCTGTGAATGGGGGGCAACGCAGCCACCCTGTGTCCCACAGATGCCCATTGCAGTGGCAGGGCGCACATGTTGGCGGTCATGCTACCGGGGTGGCAGGAGCTGGGGCTCTGTGGAGAGGGCGGGGTACAGCGAGCTCATGTCTGGCTGTCCTTGGGCCACCGGAGCTGGTGGCCTGATTTAACCCTGTGTGTTCTTGGAAACGCAAAACCCCTTGCCGATGGCTCCCCTGGACTTCTGGTTGGGGTGCCCCGCCTCTCCCTCTGCCACTTCCTTTTACTCTGTCCCTCCTGACACCACCTCATCCTCAGAATTGACCCTGAACGGCTGCCCCAGAGCTACCCACTTCCGCCCTGTGTGTCCCTACTTAGAGAGAAATACTGCCCTCGCCATGTCCCCCATCTGGGCAGGGTCCTCTCTGAAGCCCACCCCCCGGACCTCAGGGCTGGCTGTTCTGTCACACTCAGCTCAGCTCTGCCTTCCCCTAAATTGCTCGGGAACTGGGAACGAGCTTCTGAGCTGTGGGTGGCCCTGGCTGCATGGAGCAGGGCCAGGCCTGGGGGCGGACCCCGCCTTCCCCCTGTGTTCATCTGTGGGCCGTTTCTGTTGCCAGATGTGGGCACCTGTGTTTGCCTTTCTCCTCCTTCCCTTGCTCTGCGGGGAGAGCCAGAGCCGCTCACAGGGCTGGCCCAGAGTGGCGGAGGACTTGCCAAGGTCACCCAGCGCCTGCTCAGAGAGGCCGTGCGTCCACAGGGCAGTGCAGGCAGCCGGAAGACAGGGCAGGTTTGGTGAGATCACAGTCAAGTGGCAGCTCGGGGCAGCTCCCCGACGGGGACATGCCCAGATGGAGGCCCCAGGAGGCCACTGTGTCTCTGACCTGGGATTTTCAGTGGTCACAATTCTGGTGGACATGGTCACCCAGAGCAAAAGGGGGCCAGACCTGGGCCCTGGCATGGAGGAAGCCACCCATCAGTCCCTGAAATAGTTGGGCCCACTCAGCTGCCGCTGCTCCTGTGTCAGTGCAGCTGGTTTGCTGCAGAACCTCATGTTGACCTGGGGGTCGTAGGAGACACGAGTTCTGGTACTGGCCCAGCTTCGGTGCCTAGTGTGACCTTTGTGTCTTCAAGAAGTACTGCTGGGGCCAGGGATTTAGCTCAGTTGTTTCGGTGCCTGCTGTGCAAGCACAAGGACCCGAGTTCGAATCCCGGTACCGAAAAAAACCAAAAAACAAGTACTCCTGAACACCAGCCATGCTCTGGGTGCGTGGGATGAATCAATGGACAGAGACCACGGCTGCGTCCCATCTTGGACCCATCTTGGAGAGCGGCCGGGAGATAAGATGACAGGCTGGCCGTGTGTTCCCCCCTGGGAAGTGAGGGGCACCCTGGGGCCCTGCAGGCTGGGCAAGCTGCTTTTGCTCCCCACCCTCTCATTAAGCCGGCCCTTGGGGTGTGGCCCAGTGGTAGTGGTTGCCTTGAGTCTTCTCTGGGCCCTGGGTTCGATTCCCAGCACAGCAGAAAAACCCATCGGCTCCCGGGACAACTGCAGTGCCACTGTGGGTGTCTGCAGCCTTCTGTCACCAGCTCCTCCAGGAAGCCCCCATGTGTCCCTCCTGTCCTGTGTCCCTCTTGCCCTTCCTGGGCATGGCTGGTCTCCATTTTGTTACTTGAGATAGGGCCTCACTGCGTAGCCCAGGCTGGCCTCAGGCTCGCGGTCCTCCAGCCTCTCCAGGGCCAGGATTCCCAGCGGGCACCACCACACCTGGCTTCCGCTTCCGGTCTTTTCCCGACCCCATGCCCTCCCCAGCCTGGCGAGGTGGTCCGGGACGTCCCCATCCTGTTCTCAGGAGAGCCCTTGACCAGCTTCCTGGTCAGCGGGAGAGAAACGCTCTCCTGCGCTCAGGGGCGGCAGTGGCCATGGGGTCCTGCAGGTCCTGGGGCTGGCAGGGGCTGCTGTAGGTGACCCCCCTTTGTTCTGTCCCGCAGACACTACCCCAAGCAGTCCTTCACCATGGTGGCCGACACCCCGGAAAACCTTCGCCTCAAGCAGCAGAGTGAGCTTCAGAGCCAGGTGGGCGCGGGCAGGCGTGTGGGTGGATGGTGTCAGGGGACCTGCCAGGGTTCCTTCCCCTGTGGTCCGTCCTGGGGCCAACGTGGTGCAATCCTCCTCCACCTCCACCCCAGGTGCTTGCTTCACACTTCCTGACTTTAGCTGGGGCAGAGCCAGGCCCTGCTTCCTGGAGAGGTGTGTGTCTGATTGAGTGTGCCCTGAGCCCCCCAAAAGCCTGCCTCCTCCAGGAGGCGGCTCCATTTACACCTTCCCAGTCTCAGAGCTGGGTTTGGGGAGCTCCCTGCAGTCTGAGGCTGCACAGCCTTCCCCTGCAGTGACCCCAAACCTTCTCTACCTGTGGAGGGCAGATGTGAAGGGTTCTGCTTGCCTGAGCCCTGCGGTGTGGGGAGAGGTACACCCTGGGTAGGGGACACCGAGCAAGAAGCCTGTGGTCTGGGTGGGCGTGGTGGCGCATGCCTGTCATCCCAGCACTCTGGGAGGCTGAGGCAGGAGGATCTCAAGTTCCAGCCTAGCCTGGGCAATTTAATGACTTAGCTAGTTAGTGAGACCCTGTCTCAAAATAAAAAGTTAAAGCTGGATGTGGTGGCACACACCTGTGATCCCAGCACTTGGGAGGCTAAGGCAGGAGGATTGCTGTGAGTTCAAGGACAGCCTGAGTTACAAAGCGAGACCCTATCTCAAAACAAACAAACGAAAGAAGGAAAAATAAAAAGGGCTGGGGGTGTAGCTTAGTGTGACAGCCCCTGGGTTCAGTCTCTTCACTTAACTAGGGGTGGGGTGGGAGATCTGTTCCCTCCGAGTCCCGGGTCAGGGACTGAGGCTTTGCTTGGTGGTACAGTGAGGGCTGGGATCCGGCTCTGGTCTTTTTTATCCCAGGGGCGAGGTTCCTCTGCCCGCCTGGGCCTGACTGCTGCTCATCTGGGTCCCCTCGTGGAGCAGGGGTGTGGGGGTCATGAGGAGGCCAGGCTGCGTGTGTGCACGGGGGCGTCCCTGACCTCGCTCACCCTTCACAGCCTCCTGGGGAAGGGGCTCTCGTTCTGCGGCACAGGTAGGGTCTCTGAGTGTGGGAGAAGGCACTTGCTGCCCAGGGCCCAGGATTTCGAGCCCAGCTGGTCTGGCTGCTTGCTATGCTCCTCACTGGCCCGCAGGACCTGCCCGGCAGCATCCAAGGGCCTCATGCAGGGCACCAGCAGGTCCCAGGGGTTGTGGGATGCAGATTCCCAGGCCCACATGGGGCTCCAGGTGTGGGCTAGAAACTGCATTTGGAGCCTAGGTGGTTCTGAAGGAGCCAGGCAGGAGCACTGGGCTGACTCAGGAGACTCAGGGCTTTACTTGCCCCTCTTGGCTTCCTCCACCGCCACCAGCACCAGGACCGCCACACCGGCTGCTCTGAGGGGCAGGCCGCAGCCTGGCTGGGGCCGTGGCAGGTCCTGGTTCCTGTGGCCCTGCGTGGGGGCGGGGCAGGCGGGTGAGGAGGGAAGTGGGAGGCACCCACCCTCTGCGGCCGCAGCCCAGTGAGCTGCCTGTGCTATTTCTACTTCATTTGTCTTCCTGTCGCTGTGTTGGTCCCCAAAGTGGCACCTTAGGTGTCTGGGGCACCTGTGGTTTCCCTGCGTGGGGAGGCAACCGCGGTGCTGTCCTGCCGAAACAGCTGTGACCCCCTCCCCCCAAGCCAGGCTGAGTGGACTGGCAGCTTTGGGGTTTGGGGTGCTGAGCTGGCCCAGGCAGAAGTATCAGGAGGGTCTCTTTCATTTCTCCTTTATCGACACCTCAGGCTGCCGTGGGAGAGGCAGTGAGGTTGGATCTGTGGCTGGTCCAGCAGGCAGCACCCCACGGATGTCACTTAGCTGCACGGGGGCCTCGGCCTTGGGGCCTTCTGCGCCGGGTGGTTTTGTAGATGAAGTAGGATTACCACCCTGTGGGTTTCAGGACTTGGGGGACACCTCACTGCTCTGGCATGAGCCAGTTCTGGAAGGGACAGGAAATGGACACAGAGAGCTTTGAACCCCCCCTCCAGCCCTGGCCTTTCTCCTTAGCTCTCCTCCCCATCTATGCTGGCTAATTTAAAAGCCTTTTCCCTCTTTTCCCATCTTTTTATTTTTATTTTTACTTAATTTTTTTTTGGTACTGGGGATTGAACTCGGGTCCTTGCACTTGTGCAGCAGGCAGCGAAACCACTGAGCTACATCCCCGGCCCCATTTCCCCTCTTTTTAAAAGGGAATGGGTTACATAGTATGGGCCTGGCACATAGTAGAGACCCAGTAAGTGGGAATGGTTGGTGGTGTATTTTGTTCAATACTTTCGTTTTGTCTTTTTTTTTTTTTTGGTACCGAGGATCGAACTTGGGACCTTGCGCTTGCGAGGCAGGCGCCAGAATCACTGAGCTAAATCCCCGGCCCTCATTTTGTCTTTTTGAGACAGGGTCTTACTCTGTAGTTCAGGCTGGCCTCAAACTTGTGATCCTCCTGCCTCAGCCACCGGAGTGCTAGCATTACAGGCATGCATCACTGTGCCTGGTGCTTAATACTTTTTTTTTTTAAATCGTGATCTTTTCATCTTCATCTTATTCTGCGCAGGGGGTATCCACACCCAGCCCGCCTGGCATGATCTTTTTTTGGTATTGGGGATCGAACTCAGGACCTTGCACTTGCCAGGCAAAAACAGTGCCACTGAGCTGCATCCCCAGCCTGTGACATGATCTTTTTTGATTACATTTTTTTTTTTTTTGGTACTGGGGATTGAACTCGGATCCTCGTGCTTGCGCAGCAGGCAGCGAAACCACTGAGCTAAATCCCCAGCTCCTGCATGATCTTTTTTAATGTTTGATCATGAGATCAGTCGTTTTCCAAACCACACTGCCCCGTGTGTTTGATGGATAACTGATGAACTGTACAGAGCTGGGGAGAGTCAGGATCTACAGATAGAAAGCAGAATTGCATAGCCAAGGCCATGTGGGGGTCTGGAGCCCCAGGCTTTAGGCCAGCCCTGTCGTGGGAGTTTCCAGGGTGGGAGGCCGGTCACCAACCTGGGGTAGAGTCTTCCGGCCAAAGTGCTGAGTCGCGCTCTGCCCCCGCAGACATCTGTGGAGTGACCTCAGGCGGATCCCCTCCAAAGCTTCCGCCCAAAGCTCCCATGAGCCACCCGACGGTGGGCAAGCATTCCTGCATGGGCAAAGGGGACCTGGTGAAGGGACTTGGGCCATCCCTGCAGGCTCTGGGCCTTTCCCTGGCCCTCTACCAGCCCTTGCAGCACTGAAGTCCCTTAGAATCTTCTGTACCTTGACTCTGGGTAAGGCCTAAGGGTGCTGAGGAATGGTTGCAGCTCTGGAGCCAGAGGCCTGCTTTGTTTTGAGACAGTGTCCGGCTGTTGACACAGTAGTCCAGGCTGGCCTTGAACTTGAAGTCACTGAGATTTTCTTTTTGGATTTTTTTGGGGGTCTTACTATGTAGTTCAGGGGATCCTCCTGCCTCAGCCTCCCAAGAGCTGGAATTACAGGACTGTGCACCACATCCCGCTTAGAGTGGGAGGTATTAAGAGATCACCTCGCCTGTCCCCTTAGCCCACACCAAAGTGACCCCACCTGCCCACCCTTGTGGGCCTCTTGCATTAGGAGTGAAATGATTTTCCCTTCCTGGCAAGGAGGGGAGGCAGCTCCTGGGCCTGGGAACCCGATGATGTCACTCCATGTTGCCATGGCAATGGTTCCCCCGGAGGAGGGCCTGACCCTTGGGAAGCCAGGAAGCAGGAGGGAGCGGCTTGGCACTGGGTCTGCATGGACACAGACACCAGATTCACAGCCTCACTCCCTCCTTGCCGGGTGTGGCCTGAGCCCAGCCTGCGTTGTGGGCCCAATGGCTGGTCCTGGATCCCCACTGTACAGATGTGGGGGCCGAGACTTTAGAGGTCAGGGATGTGGCCCAAGGTTACCAGCAAGGGCCAGACTGAGGGGTTCCTGTCCCCGCTCCGCCTTCTGGTCTGATGGGAATGGAGCTCTCCTCCAGCCCAGGTGATTTTTGTTTTGTGGGGTTTTTGTTTTGTTTTGTTTTGTTTTTGAGACAGGATCTTGCCCAGGCTGGGCTTGAACTTGTAATCCTCCTGCCTCAGCCACCTGAGTAGCAGGGACTACAGCCCAGGCACCGTGCCCAGTTTCAGCCTTTCTTTTCCATCTGTGGGGAAACCCACTGGGGACCTGCCAGGTGTGGCCTGGGCGGGGTCAGGACAGCACAGAGCCGAGGGCAGAGGAGCCAGGCCTGGGAACCTGGGAACTGCCTGGGCTGTCCTCCCAGATGCGCCCGAGGCTCCCTGTCCTGGGCTGACCCCATTTACTTGGGAGGAAGTGGAGGCAGCTATGGGGTGGAACAGATGGCTGCCGAGGGCCAGAGAACCTCTGGAAGGTGAGAGGCAGCCCCGCCCCGCCTCCATCATCTCCAGCCTTGGGGAGCCTGAGTTTCCATAGGAAAGTGGTGATTTCGCATCCCCATCTCTGCCCCTGTGTCTGTGCCTGCTCCCCAGGAAGCCATGGCATCAGAGGCTCACTGATCAGCCTTCGCCATGCCTGTGTCACGCAGCCTTTCTGGGCCCGACATCGCCCTTTGGCACAGCTCTCTCTCAGCGGCTGACTGGAAACCCCAGGCACTCGGCAGGGTGGGCAGGGGAGGCAGGGCCTCTGACAGTGGCTGCCAGGCCCTGTGGCCTCCTTCGGGAGACCTCGCCTCTGGGTGGCTCAGTTTCCTTCTCTGTGCAATGGGGCTGATAGCTCGTGTGTGTGTGTGTGTGTGTGTGTGTGTGTGTGTGTGTGCGCGCGCGCGCGCATGTGTGTGTGTGTGTGTGTGTGTGCGCGCGCACACGCGCAAATGACATCACTCCTGGGAGCACATGGCTGTTGGGTGAGTATGAATGAGTTTTTTTGTTGTTTTGAGTCAAGACCTTACTGTGTAGCCCAAACTGACCTGGAATTCGAAGCCATCTTCCTGCCTCAGCCTCCCGAGGGCTGGCATCACATTCCATGCCCCGCAGCGCCTGGCAGTTTCTGCCCAGGACCACTATCTGCTGCCAGCAGCCTCTCAGCTCCCCGGCTGACCCCGGCTTTCCTCCCCAGGTGCGCTACAAGGAGGAGTTCGAGAAGAACAAGGGCAAAGGCTTCAGCGTGGTGGCGGATACCCCCGAGCTCCAGAGAATCAAGAAGACCCAGGACCAGATCAGCAACGTGAGCTCCTGCCCCTGCCGCCTCTGCACCCCTAGCCAGTGGAGGGCAGGGAAGGGCTGGGGCTGCCGGTGCACTTTGGGTGCATGGGTGGGGCCATCCCTGGCTCTGCAGCCCTTGGTCTTTGTGGGGGTGCTGGGTGCCCGGGGCACAGCCCCCCCCAGGCTGACACCGAGGCATTTCCCGCCAGCCTCCCTCGAGCCCTCTTCCTTCCTGTGCAGAAACCCGGTGGCTTCTCCGGTGGCCCTGTCCCCGGCCCTCCAGTGTGGGTGGCAGTGGATGGAGGTCCCTGCCACCTTCAGGACAGCACAGCCTGGGCACACGGGGTAGGGTGCAGCTCTGCGGGCCGTGGGGGTGCCAGCTGCCGTGTGTGTCCACAGGAGGGTGAGATGGTTGCCAGAGTGGTCTGGGCCGAGGGCTGGGGTCTGTTCCAGCCCTGGTGCAGAAGGGAGAGCTTTCAGGAATTCACGCTCGTGCCCGAGGGGGTCATGGCAGCAGGACGCCCCTGCCACCCTTCCTGTCGGCTTCGGGACCTCCACCCCCAGGAGCTGTCCCGCCTGGGGCATCCGAGCAACAGAACTCGCTGCGGCCCAGGCGTCACAGCGAGGATGAGAGTGACCACTGCGGCTGCCCCTGCCCGGGTGGGCACCTGAGACCATGCCTTAGTGGACAGTGAAGTCTGTCTGCCAGGTGTGGGCCCTGACCAGCTCTGCCAGGGCCAGGTACCAGCCAGGGGCTCATGGACGCATGCTGGGGGCCTCTGTGCTGCCCTGCTGTCTCCGAGCTGTCACTCCCAGAAAGCTGTGCCACCCCCCACTCCCAGTCAGAGGTCCCCAGCTGGTCCTGTCCCCGCCCCGAGGGAACCCAAATCACATTCAGAACTGGCTGAAGCTGGGCGTGGTGGCACATCCCTAGAATCCCAGCACTTAGGAGGCTGAGGCAGGAGGATCTCTAGGAGTTCCAGGCCAGCCTGGGCTGCATAGTGAGCCCCTGTCTCAAAAAACCAAAAACAGGCCAGGCATGGTAGTGGTGCACACATGTAATCACAGTGCTTAGGAGGCTGAGGCAGGAGGATTGCTGGAAGTTTGAGGCCAGCCTGGGCTACATAGTCAGTTTAAGGCCAGCTTGAACTGCATAGCAAGACCCTGCCTCAAAAAAACCCCAAAAGTAATAATAATGGGTTTGGGATAAGGCTCAGTGGGAGAACTAGCATGTGTGAGGCCCTACGTTCAATCTCCAGTACCACAAAAAAAAAAAAAGAAAAAGGATGAGGCTGGCGACAGCCCCCTCCCTGCACACTGGTTAGTGGGCCCGAGTTTCCTCCCGGTCCCAGATGCTCCTGCCCAGGCCTGCTGGGAATCTTCTCGCTTCCTCTGGAGCTTGCACAGTGCTTCTGACACAGAACTGTACTCCCAAACGCTCTAATTTTGGTTTCTCCTAATTTTGAAAGTATGCTATGTAATATTTTGTGGTTTGGTTCTTTTGTGTAACCCTGGACTTAGAGATCCACTTATATGTCAGGGGTATAACTCAGTGTGGAGCGCTCACCTAGCAGGTACAAAGCCCTGAATTCCATCTCCAACCCTGCCAAAAAGGGGGCGTGGAGAAAGATTCACCTGTATGTGTCTGTGTAGAGATCACTCATGCTTTTTCGATGCTATATAATATTCCACGTTGTGATTATGCTGCAGTTTATTGATTATGTTGTGGACAGATGTTTGGATTTTTAAAAAATTACTAATGAAGTTGACCCCAGATTGATGTGTTTTAAAAATAACGGACTGAGTCTCTTGACAGAGGGCGCTATCACAGGATGGTTGAGAACTAAGGCTGGTGTGGGAAGTAGATTCTGAACTACTCCGCCGCTTCCCTCCCTCTCCAGCCGTGGTTTCCTCATCTGTAAAATGGTCATGATACCCTAGGGCTTGCTGAGGAAAGGAAAGAAGGAATTCATGCGGGAAGGAGTGCAGAACAGGAGCTCAGCACGTGGGAGGCAGGCATTATAAACAGCACAGCCCTTGGCCGTGAGCTGGTTGTTCCTCTCCCAGCCGGGCCCCTCGGCCCGGGGTGACACGGAGTCATGTTGGCTGCGACGTGTGGCAAGTCAGACTCTTGCTTCCCGCCAGAATCAGGAAGCTGGGGGTTCAGAACAGGAACATCACTGTCACCGTCACCCCGGAGTCCGGGCTGTTGGGGTCTGGCTGGGTGGGGAGGGTCCTTGAGGCCCCACTGGAGCTTGGGTTCTCTCTTGGAGGCCAGGCCAGGTCACACACAGCCTGGGCTCTGGCAGCCTGGTGTAGGGCTCCCAGGAGATCGGAGCTCTGAGCCCCTGGACTCTGAGAACTTCCTTTGCCTTTTTCGTTGTTATTTTAACATTTGTGACCCAGGGTCTCGTTATGTAGTTCAGGCTGGCCTTGAACTCACAGTGATCCTCCTGCCTCAGCCTTCTGACCGCTGGGATGATGGCTGTGCTCCACCATGCCAGGCTCTGATAGTGACTTTTTCAGTGTTTGCAGCTCGGGCTAGATGAGCGCCCCTCCAACCCTGGACTTGGTAAAGAGTGAGCAGGACCCTGGCAGCCAGCCCTATGAGCCTGGTCATGTCCACACTTCCCAGGGCTGGCGGGTGCATGGCGTCACGGGAGCAGATGGCTCATGGTGTCCCTGAGGCTGGAGGGGAAAGGATCCCTCCCAAGGCCTGGGGAGTAAGTGACTGGGTTCTGGTCTCCAGGGATGAGGCACGAGGGGGACAGAGCTGGGCCCTGGCCCCTGGCCACTCCGGCTCCAAGTGGCTTCCCTGCTGGCCACCTCCTGGTACTGCTCAGGCCCGGGCAGACCAAAGTCCCCGCCCTCTGCCCTTTTGTCCTCTGTCCCCCTCATCCCTCTTGGGCTTGGCCTTTTCATTAACAAAGTAAACAAGACCCAGACCTTTCCCAGCCCCAGGACAAAGGCAACCTCTTGCATTCCCAGGACAGGAGGGGGAGTGAGTGGGCTGGGACAGTCGCCTGCCTGTGACACCTTCCAAGTGGGGCCTGCGATCCTGTGACTTTCAGCCTGGCCAGGGCTGCCCATGTCCCCCAGGGTAGGCTCACTCTGCTTTGCCTCCTTTTGGCTTCGGAGTCCCCCTCTGGCCCCCGAGGGAAGGGACAGAGACAGGTCCTGACCCGCACCCCCAAGGGACCCACTCTCTGCCTGTCCCCCGCCAGTCACACCCCCATGCCCTGCCCTGTCCCCTATGCCACATGTTCCAGGCTGGGATAGGGCGGGGTGGGTCTTGGGGAGCAGGAAGTGACAGGCGGCCCCAGCCAGTATTCCCAGGCCCACGGGGAGCTGGGCTGAGCCTGCTGGCATCAGGCAGGGCAGGGGCCGCTTCCTCCTGTGTCCCACTTCCTCCTCAGCTGTGCTGACCGCTGTGTGCCTCCCCTCCCAGCCTGGTTCCTCTGTGGGCCTGGGGTGCAGTGGAATGTTTGTCCCTTGAGGCTGCAGGACAGAAACCTCTGCTCTCCTGCGTCTCATTTATCTCGTGCTCGTGTGTCATTCCTGTTACGTGTGTGCCCTGCAAAGTACTTCCGGGTTTGCAAGCTGACATTTGTATCATTTGCGGAACAGACATGACTGGGGAGGCTTGTGCGAAAATGGAGGTCACTAGCAGGAGTGTGCAGTCATAGCCAGGTGCGGCTTTGCACACCTGTCATCCCAGCACTCGGGAGGCTGAGGCAGGACGATCGCCTTCGTGAGTTCAAGGCCAGCCTGGGCTGCATACATAGAGACCCTGTCTCAAAATCCGAAGACAAAGGAGCCTGCAGTCCCCTTCTCTGGCAGGCAGGGGTCAAGCGCCAGTCAGGCCGGTGCCAAGAGCTGCCTGTGACACGTGACACATTCCCGGCATGAGCTTGGCTTCCAGGGAGAGCTCGGCACGGGAGCCGAAGCCACTGAGGGGTGGCCGGGGTGGAAGCAGGGATGCCCCAGTCCCTGGCACATGCGCGTGCAGGTGACGGCTCACATCGTGGCCCTGTGGTGGCTGCCGTCACTCCCTGCGTCTGAGGCACGCTGTTTTCCTGTTAGACAGAGGTGGCAACTGAGGCTGAGCAAGGTTAAGCTGCTCAGCGGAGCCCTTGGGAGTCTCCCATCCCGAGAGCTGAGCTTTACTTTATTTTATTATTTATTTTTAAATTTTTATTTATTTTATTTTAATTATTTTATGTCTTGCAGTACTGGGGGTTGAACCCATGTCCTTTGCACTCAGCAACACCCACAGCCCATTTTTTATTTCCAGACAGTGTCCCCCTAAAGTTGCTGGGGCTGAACTCAAACTTGCAACCCTCCTGCCTCAGCCTCCTGGAGTGTTAGGATTATGTGGCTTGGGGGGGCAGGGTCCTGCTCTGTTATTCAGGTTAGCCTGCGACTTTATGTATCACAGGCTGGTCTCAAACTTGTGATCTTCCTGCCTTAGCCTCCTGAACAGTGGCCTCCATCCCAGGGTCTTGGATGGCAGCGGGAGGTGCTGGCTGCTTTGCTGTGGGACCCTTCCTGACCCAGCTCTCCTGCCCTGCAGATAAAGTACCACGAGGAGTTCGAGAAGAGCCGCATGGGCCCTGGCGGCGCCGGTGAGGGGTTGGAGCCGGACCGCAGGGACACCCAGGACAGCAGCAGCTACCGGCGGCCCCCAGAGCAGCAGCCTCAGCCACACCACACCCCAACCAGCACCCCCGGTGGGTGTGGGTACAGGAGGGGGCTGGAGAGAGGCCACACACGCTGTCCCATGGCGGCCCCCTCCCCAGCCAGGGGTCTGCGGGGCACACAGCCCCTGCTGGGGGTCCCAACATGGATGCGTGTGCGGGTGACCCTGTCCTTGAGTGGGGGGCCCGACACTGGCCTTGTGGGGGCTCTAAGCATTTTCTGACCTCTCCTCCTCCATGCAGTTTACCAGCAGCCGCAGCAAGTGACTCCAGCCTATGGCAGCTACAAGGAGCCCGCGGCCCCGGGGTCCATACAGCGCAGCACCCCAGGCGGGGGCGGGGTGAGTAGGGGCCTTGGGGTGGTGGTGGTGAAGGGTTCCAGGTCCCCCTGGCCTCTGACCCCAGGCCCTGGCGCCCCTGTCGTGTGTTTGGAACAGATCTGGGCCCCACAGTTTGGAGGAAGTGCCCCTGTGGGGGGAGGCTGTCTTGACTTCGGGGGACATTCCCTGCTCCAGCACTGAGGCGCACACAGGCCCTTTCTGGGTGGGGTCCTCCAGACTTGGGCAGCCCCGTTTTCATGAGGAGGGAGACCCTACACCCTTCTGATCTCTGCCTGACCCTCCCAGACCGTCCTGTGTCTAGTGGGTATCCCCCGTTTCTGTCACTTGACCCCACTAACCAGTCCCTCGGCACTTTTTTCAGCTTTTTTCCCCTTTCCTGGTGTTCAGAGTGGAACCCAGGGCCTTTGCATGCAATGACAGCCCTAACCCTTCTGTTTGAGATAGGGCTGAGCTTGGACTTTTAACCCTTCTGCCTCAGCCTCCCAGAGTGCTGGGACCACAGAGGAATAAAACAGCTCTCTGGCGGCCCCGGAGCCTCTTGGTCTGGACACATACAGTGCAGGCGGAGGTTCCTAGTGAATGCCAGCCCCTCAGGTCACTGTCTCGTCCTGGACACAGGATCTGACTACTGTCCCACCCTCTGAGAGCTTGTATTCCAGTAAGAAAGCGATAAATGTGCAGGTCTGTAATGTCAGGCCCGGCGTGACGTGCTCTGAAGGTAGCCAGCAGGGTAAGGGACATAGGGCAGCAGGGTCAAGGTGTGACATTTGCTGGGTGCAGTGGTGCCTACCTGTAATCTCAGCACCCAGGAGGCTGAGGCAGGAGGATCTCTGAATTTGAGGCCAGCCTGGGCTACGTACATAGCAAGACCCTGTCTGAGGAAACAAAACAATACAAAGCAAAAAGGAAGAAAATATTGGTGCTTATAATAATTCCAGTAGCAGCAAACAGAGCCTGTCAGATATTTAAACCCTACCCTGGTCCTGTCTGTGCCCTTAGTGCGTCCCCCATCTGACCCTGAGTGGATGCCAGGTGCTCTGTGAAACGGCCAGTGCTTTCCCCAAAAGTTAAGACTCGGACGCTAGTGAATTCACAGCGGAGCACGGCCCTGTCCCCTCTGTCCCCCAGCCCGGCCCTGGAGTCCTTGAGAATTAGGAACTCAAGGCTAGGGTGTCCCTCAGAGGCAGAGCTGGGCTAGGGCCCAGCGTGACCGTCCTGTCCCCCCAGAAGCGGTACCGCGCAGTGTATGACTACAGCGCTGCCGACGAGGACGAGGTCTCCTTCCAGGACGGGGACACCATTGTCAACGTGCAGCAGATCGATGACGGCTGGATGTATGGGACCGTGGAGCGCACGGGCGACACGGGGATGCTGCCGGCCAACTACGTGGAGGCCATCTGAGCCCGTGCTGCCCAGCCTCCGCACACTCCGGCCTCGCGTCCACCGGGCAACTGTCCGCCCTTCCGTGTCTCTGTCCTTTAAGATCTGCAACAGCTTGTTTGTCCCCAACCCTCCTCAGCCGCTTTGGCCACCCGAAGCCTCGTTCTGCCACTGTCGGGCCCCCTCTCTGGCCAGTTTCCCCCTGACCGACTTCTCGGTGTTCTCTCTGGAGAGAAGAGCTGGGCTGGAACAGTGCTGCCCAAGGCCGCCTCCCCTGCCCTGGGCTGCTGGCCCCTCCCCGGCCCAGGCCCTTCGGGGGACCCTAGTGGGCCGCCCCTCCCTTCCTCACAGAGGGGCCCTCGAAGACCGGGTGGGGAAAGGGCTCTGGGTAGTTCAGGGGGAGCTGCTCTCCCACCTGTCCCCAGTCCCCCGGGGAAGGCCTTGTGGGCCTGGGGCCGGCAGGACCTTGGTGTTCCGGAGACAGGCGAGGGGGACACGGGGCAGGGTGTGGCCCCAGCTCTGCCAGATGCTTCCCTGTAGGTCAGTGAGCAGCACCTTTCTGTGGCCCTGGGCAGGAAGGAAGGCACCCTGGGCACAGTGAGTCTGTCCTCCTCCCGGCCCCTGAAGGACTGAGTCACCCACACTGGTGGCGTTTGGACCAACACCCCCACCCCCGTGTAGCAAGGCGGGGCCCAGGGCTCCGGAACCGGAAGCAGATTTCAAGGAGAGGCAGGAAGATGGTGCTATGCCCAGGCTCCTCTGTGCCGGGGCCGGACAAACCTAGCCTGGCATCATTCATCTCTGAGTCTCCTGTCCCTCTCCTGGGCCTCCTCCCATTCCTACCCTGAGTCCGACCACAGCTGGCCCCCCAGATGCTGAGCCCCCCCAGCCCTCCAGCAGCTGCCCCGCGCACTGCACACCAGTGCTCTCAGGTGAGGGATTCGCCTTGGCGGCTCGTGTGTGGACTTGGGAAAACGCCCCAAGAGCAGTTGGAGGAAGTGACTGCTAGTGCCCCTGCCCCTTTCCTCTGGCCCCAGCCAGCCCCGGTGAGGGAGGGAGTGTCCTCTCTGTCAGTAAGCCTCTCAGGAGGCCATGGTTCCATCCAGTTCCTCTCCGTCTCAAAGCACAATGTGGATCTGGGGACCCGTGACTGGGATGAGGAACCAGAGGGCCTGCAGCCTCCAAACTTTGCTTCCTGCTCGAGGCAGGCAGCTGCTCCATTTTCTGCCCTAAGAAGGGGACATGCGTACTCCCAGAGAGACGAGGGGCTGCCACACTGGTGCTGAGGGACGCAGCGCCAGGCCCAGAGCCACCACCCCAGCACAGGCCCTCCCACCGGGGCAGACCTGGCCGCTTGCTCCAGGACGGGAGGCTTGAGCTACAATGTGACCATGACTTTCGGGACCAATCCCACTGGTGACAACCGTGGGCTCCCAACCCTGCTTCCTGGTTCCCCTCACATCCCTCCAGGGAAGGCTCCTTTATTGCTTCATTTCTGCCTTTTTATCTTTCACATAATGCACTTTTGGGCCATTTTTTTTTTTTAATAGCTGGAAAAAAATGAAACCGTCCCACCCCACGAGCCTGTATTTAAAAAGAAACAAGTGACCCTGTGGGATTGGCCTTTGTCCAAACATTTCACTGTCTGTGTGTGAAGCGCCCGCTCACCCTTTTTATGGGGCCGTCGTCTTTCTCATCTGTTTGATCCCCTCCCTTGTGGGCTTGTGCTCCGAATCAGACCTTTGGGGCCTGTTAATGATTTTGAACATTTGACTTGAACCACAAGTAAATCTTTCTCCTGGTGACTCAAATAAAAGTGTAATTTTTACCTGCGGACTTGGTGTCCTTTGTGGCTCGGTGCTGCTGTGGGGTAAGTTCTGAACACTTGGGGACACGTGGACCTCTCGCCCAGCTGCTCCTGGACATTGTCCCCACCCCTGTGTACCCAGCTTGGTGGCACAGAGGTGACTCCTCAACTCCAAGTCCCTTTCCCGCTTCTTTAGCTGTGCAGCTGCCTGCCCCGAGGCCAGTGCCCTCAACAGGCGAGAGCTGAGTTCATCCTCAGCTACCTGGCACCTGTCCATGGCCCAGACTGAGTGCAGGGCCATCCTGGCCCTGTGCCCTTTGGGGAGGGAGCGGTGGCTCTGCGTGTGTTTAAGGAGTGAAGTTAGAGGGCCTGGGACAGCCTGAGGTGGGACAAGGTGCAGCACAAAGCTCTCCGTGATCTAGCCACCCAAGGCGGCCTTGGAAGTGTGATCTTTTTGTTTTTTGAGACAGGGTCTCACTAGCTCAGGCTGGCCTCGAACTCCAGCAGTCATCCTGCTTCAGCCTCCCAAGTGCTAGTATGACAGGTGTGGTGATCTTTAATATGATCCTTCTCTCTCCTTAGTGGCTCTGTGAGGGAAGTAACTGCTTCTGTACCCATCTTACCCAGGCTGCTCGGTGCGGCAGAGCTGGGCCATGCGCCCCAGTGTGGTTCTGGGTCTCACTGTCTCCACCGCTCTGTGCAGCCCTTAGGAGCCCCCTATGCTCTGGCTCCATGTGCCCAGTCTGTAACTGTAGCCTCCATCTGGCTCAGCGAGACTTGAAAGAACACAAGGATGGTGGTAGAGCAGGGACCCCAGCCCCCGCCCCACTGCCTCAGGGGAGGGGCACTTTCTCAAGCAGCTGGGGCCCAAAGTGGCAGGGGCACAAGGGCTTCCCTGAGCTGAGTGTGAGCGGAGTCAGGGTCCAAAGTCCCCAGAGCTGGGCAAGAGTGGGAAACAGGGTGGCACAGCCCCTGCCCACCCCCAAAGGCCCCCCCAAGGGCTGGCCTGCTGTGCCCCAAGAGGAAGGACGCTTGGCACACCTGGCCTCCTGAGGCCTCCCAAAACTTCAGAGGACTGGAAGGGGCAGAGGGCTTTGGCAGACATTAGTGCCAATGCCACTTAACACACACGCACACATGCTCCCAGGCCTCAGTCTCGGGCTCCCGGGGACTCCCAGACCGGTGGGAGGAGTTCCTGAGGAGCTGCGGGAAGCAGCCTGGCTCCTGAGGCCCAGTGCTCTATGGGGTTCCTAATGTTTTAACCCAGGCCCTTCAAAACAGCTCTCTGTAGGCATAGTGTGGTAGAGGGTAGGACGCCTTATAGTCCCAGCACTCAGGAGGCTGAGGCAGGAGGATCATCATGAGTTCAAGGCCAGCCTGGGCTACATAGTGAGTTAAAGGCCAGCCTGGATTGCATAGCGAGACTCTGTCTCAAAAAAAAAAAAAGCTGTTTGGGGTGAAGCCAAGGAGACCAGGCCTCGGAGATGTGCCAGGGAAATAAATGTTTTCATTTAATAGGAAATGATTGAAACTCGTAAAAGGCACAAAGCCACAAATGACATAACTTGAGTCTTTAAAAAGAATGAGACATCAGTCCCTTCTCCCTCAAGATTCAAGAAACCACTTGTATCTGCGTTTCCAGACACTCGCTGCCTGGGACAGGTTGGGGGACCACGGCGAGCAGGCCTGGTCTGCGTCCTGCTAAGCGCAAAGCATTAGGGGAGCCCTCCCCACGTGCCTCTCCCGGCAGACACAGCGCAGCTCGGTCCCCAACGATGCCAGCTGCGACCCACATGGGGCTGTTGCCCGCGTCTGCCCGGAAACGACCTTCCAACCTTGCCAATGGACCACCCCACCGCCAGCTGTTATTTTTCTGACATGATTTGCCAGAGATACTGAGAGTGAGGAAAAGGGACAAAGAAAGGCAGTCGGAGGATGCGTTCATCCAGGGGATCTGGAGCGGCTCCCTCCGTGCCCACCTCCCCTGGCGGATGCTGGGCTTCGAGATGCAGACAGCGTTTCCGCCCCTCGAGGCGGGACTGGGCGCCCAGGAAAAGCGCGGAGCCTCTCGGTCCTGCCTGGTCCGGAGCCGCAGCGCCCTGGTTACCACTCCGGCCTCCTGATTGGCTGAAGGGGCAGGGGCGGGGTGTGGATGGACGGCCGCCTCCCCGATCTGGGTCAGGGGGAGGGGGCCATCGGGGCAGGGACCGCAACCTCTGCTCGCGGCAGCCGCTTCCCGGGATCGGGGCCTCCAGGGTCCGGGACCGCACGATGCTGGACATTTTCATCCTGATGTTCTTCGCCATCATAGGCCTGGTCGTTCTGTCCTACATCATCTACCTGCTTTAGGGGCCGGCGCCGCGGCCGCGCTGCCCCGGCCGCGCTGCCCCGGCTGCGAAGGGAAGGATGGAGCTGCAGGGCCGAGCTCTGTGCTCGGTCAGCTCGGGTGTATTTTTGCTTCCGGGCATTATTTCGAGTACTGATTCGAAAGCCAGATGAAAAGAGCTTGCCTTTCCCTTTACTCCTCGTGTACTGATGTAGCGTTTCTTGGACTGCTCTGAGAACAGTAAGAAATGCAAGCTTCTGTCTGGGGGACCCAACTTAAAGTAGCATTGTTGCAATTGAAAAGGAAACGCACCGCGGCCGGGACTGTAGGTAGGAGGGGCTGGGGACGAGCAGGACAGAGGGCGGGAGCCGCGCGCCTCCCCCTGCAGGTGCGGGCGTCTAGGCCCAGGGCTTTGCAGCCCGGTCCGCGGCGCTGCGGGAGGGGACTCACCCTCCCTTCGGGAGCAATCGGCAGATGAGACTGCCGTGGGCCGCGCTTGCCCCACTGTGAGGTTCGGCGGAGGAGAGGGGCCTGGATTCTCTCCCCACCCTGTCGCCGATGGTGCCCCCTGCTGGCCGCCTGAGCCTTTGTTTCCGGGTTTCCCACAGCGCCGGCTCCGTCCGACCGGCAGCTGCCCCGACTTCTTCCAGAGCCTTCCAGAGCCTTCCGGACACCGCTGGCCCTGCAAATGGGGGGCTTTGTGCGACAGAGGCAGAGGCGCTGGGGGGACCCCGGGACTCCACGCGGCGGCTGGCAGAGGCCCCCGAGCTGTGGCGAGAGCCGGCTGAGGATGCGAAAGTCGAAGCTTGGACTCGTGAAAGCCAGCGCGGAGGCCGCCGGGAGCGCTGCTCGGGGCCCGGGCGGCGCGCAGGTCCGGGCGGCGCTGCTGCAGACTGCGCAGTCTGGCCTGGTGTGGGTAACTCGGCTTGCTCTCCAGCCAAAGAGAGAGCCTCATCTCGGAGTTTTTAACCTTTCTCCTTCCCTCCCACCTCCCCTCATCCCATGTGAGGAGTGAGTGGCTCTGTCGCGGTCATTCTCTGTCCCTGAGTGTGCATGAGTCAGGGCGGGGCGCCAGCCCTGGGGTCCCCGCCACAGGGAGACGGCGAAGATTAATTAGGAATGGCCCTGCTTATCTAGGAAAAAAATCTCTTACCCCAAAGGGAGTGGGGTTGGTTTGGTTTTGTTGTCAGATGTTCTTTTTCTGAAAAAAAAAACAACAACCTTCCAGCGTATTTCCCTGTCCAGTTAAAGTTGAGGAAACTATATATTTTGGGGAACTATATATTTAGGATACTAAATGGTGGTGTCTATTCCTTGGAAAAGTTTGTCATAATTGTTCTACGTTTGATTTTCTTTTTTACCTTAAATATAGACAAGAAGAAAGATCAAATTGAGTTTGTTTTTTAGTAATAATATTGTATTCAATTATGGTTTTTTGTTAATTATGTTTTTAAAACAAATAAAATTGAAGCAGTATAATATGTCACAATTAAAATGGAAATCTAGCATATTAAAATCCTGACTGGTGGTGGTGTATGACCGTAGTCTTGGCTACTTAGGAAGCTGAGGCAGGAGGATCATTTGAGACCAGGAGTTCAGGGCCATCCTGGGCAACAAAGTAAGACCTTGACTCTTTAATAACAACAACAACAACAACAACAACATAATAATAATAATAACAACGAAGATTCAGGAGAAGAAAAATACTTAAATAAATGTGATCTTCACTACGTCATTTAAGCTTAGGGTTTTAGTTTATTCTGTGACATAAGAGTTAGACAAAAAATAGTTAATATCTCTTCCCATTTAAAAATTCTAGAGGCAGACTCGGGATTTAGCTCAGTGGTTCTGGTGCTTGCCTTGAAAGCACAAGGTCCCGACTTTGATCCCCGGTACCAAAAAAAAAGAAAAGGCAAGCCTGGTGGCACACACCTGTAATCCCAGCACTTGGGTCCATTCGAGTTCAAGGCCATCCTGGGCTACATAGTGAGACCTGTCTCAACAAACAAAAATTCTAGAATTCCAGGATGTATTGTTTGGTCATTTTCTTTTTTGATAGCAGGAATCGAACTCAGAGGGATTCATTATTTTTGGAAACTACATCAAGAATAGAATTCCCCGGCTAGGGGATTCAGCTTAGTGGTTTCACCACCTGCTGTGCAAGCACAAGGACCAGAGTTTGATCCCTGGTACCAAAAAAAAAAAAAAAAAAGAATAGAATTCCCACAGAACAAATTCTTTTTTTCTTTTTCCTGGTACCCCAGATCGAACTCAGGTCCTTTTGCGGCAGGCGGCGGAACCACTGAGCTAAAACCCCAGCCCTTTCTTTTGAGGGGGGACGACAAATTCTTGATAGTTTATTAACAGTTTCCTTTCTGCTTATTTTCTCCAATGTGACCTTCATTTGGAGGGGATGGTGGTACTGGAGATTGAATCCAGAGCCTTTGTACTAAGTTATATCCCCAGCCCTTTTATTTATTTAATTTTTTTTTAAATCTGGAGACAAAGTCTCGCAAATTTGCAAAGGCTGGGCTTGTATTTGCAATCCTCCTGCCTCAGCCTCCTAAGGATTACAGGCATGTGGCACCACATTCAGCTCAATCTGGATCAATTAATTTTATAATCTTGGCCTTTTTTTTGCACCAGCAGGCACATTTTGAGGATGAAATGGCATATTTACAGTATTTACTCCAAATATGTATTTTATCAGGGATAATCTGCCTAAGCCTTTTAGGGAATGTACAGTGCTACATGATGACATTTATAAAAAGACAGGGCCGGGGATTTAGCTCAGTGGCACTGCCCCTGCCTTGCAGGCACAAGGTCCTGAGTTCTATCCCCAGTACCAAAAAAAAAAAATTTATAAAAACACAGGTAACACTCAGACGTGGTAATGCAAGAAGCAGGATCCTAAACTCGGATACACTCAGGGTGTCTTCAGTGAGGTCCTCGGCATTTCCCAGGACAAAGACTGAGTGCTCATAGCCATGGGAAATTGTGGGTGATTCACAATATCTAATTACATATTTTGCTTTTGGGAACTGGCATCAAACTATAATTGTAGCATTTCTAGTTTAGTAGCAAGTGGAATATTAAGTGCTTGGTGATTTGGTCTCTGTATTAAATAGAACAGTATGAGCATTTATGAGCAGTTGCCAGTAAAGGCTATTATTTAACTTTTAAATGGTCTGTTATTAAGTGTACATATACATATGGATAAATATGTAGCCGATTGCAACATTATTTTATATTAAGGCAGTTGATTGGGGGTAGCGGTGTAGCTCAGCAAGAGAGCTTGGGCCTACCACCTGTGAGGCCTTGGGTTTAATCCTCAGCACCAAAAGAAAAAAAGACAATTTAGGTTGGAAATGGTAGTGCACACCTATCATCCCAGCACTCTGGAGGCTGAGGCAGGAGGATTGCCTTGAGTTTGAGGCCAGCCTGGGTGGGTTACATAGTGAGTTCAAGGTCAGCCTTGTCTTAAAACAACAACAACAACAACAAAAAGACAACTTAATTTTTGATCATGGTAGAGCTGTAATTAATAGTTTAAAAGATAATTTCCCTCACAAGAAAGTCAACGACTTACATAATGACAAACTGAACAAACTGGAAGTGTTTCCAATTTTAAATTAATAAAGTGTAGCAAATATTAAATATGAGGCATCAAAGACATTTACCAGTAGCACAGCACTGTGGAAGAACAAGAACTGAGCACAATTTGGTTTCCTAGCCCAGTGCTGGTGGGGAGGGGCTCGAGGCACCCAGGCGGCTCCCCTAGATCCCATCTCACTCAAACCCAAACAAGATGAAGGAAAGTAAAGCCAAATGTAAAAAGAAAGCAACAGTCTTAGAATGTCTACAAGCTTTCTTCTTAAAATTTAGGATTCTTTCAAAGGCTAAACAATTAAGTCTTCAGTTACTTGACACACATTTTCTGGAGGTACATTTTCTTGAAGAAAAGTGTTCTTAGTCCTTTGGCACTTTTTGCTTTTAACCTGGATGATGCTGCCCGATTCAGCTGCCTCCCAAGTCATGGTTCCTGTCTGAGTGATGTCTCAATAAACTGGAAATGTCTGTCCCTGACTTCTGCCAGGCTTCCCAGCTATCTGCTGGTAGAATTGCCATAAAGGTCACATCGCTGTTAAGGTATCCAGTAACAAGCAAGCTTTTGTAGCAGCCTTAATTCTACTCTTTACAATATTTATTTGTTTATTCTGGCTTTTTGAGACATAGTCTAGCTATGCAGTTCGGGCTGGCCTTGAATTTATGGCAATCCTCCTGCCTCAGCCTCCTGAGTCCACCACTACGCCCAGCTTCTTGTTTTGTTTTGTTTTGTTTTGTTACCAGGGATCGAACTCAGGTCCTTGCGCTTGCATAGCAGGCGTCAAAACCACTGAGCTAAATCCCTGGCCCCCCAGCTTCTTTGTAATATTTATTGGGATAAAAATTTGTAATCAGGGGCCAGGGATTTAGCTCAGTGGTTCCAGCGCCTGTCTTGAAAGCTCAAGGTCCCAAGTCCGATCCCCGCTACCAAAAAAAATCTGTAATCAGCTGGGCATGGTGGCACACACCTGTCATCCCAGCGCTTGGGAGGCTGAGGCACAAGGATCCTCAGGAGTTCAAGGCCAGCCTGGGCTACATCATGAGTTCAAGGCCAGCCTGCAGTATAAAGCAAGACCCTGTCTCAAAAAACCAAAAACCAAACAATATACAATAATAACAATAATAAATATAAATATAATGATGTGTCAGTAACTTGTTTTCTAGTAAAGTAAAAACCACACTACACACCCAAGTCAAATTGGACTGAGGAAACTGCTAGAAGAGGGGAAAGAAGTGCTGGGAGCCCAGGCTGCTAATGGAGACGGATCTTCCTTTTTTTTTTTTTTTTAGTACCAGGGATCGAACTCGGGTCCTTCCACTTGCAAGGCAGGCGGCAGAACCACTGAGCTAAATCCCCGGCCCGGATCTTCTGATTTAGAGAGAGAGGCTGAAGTTGGGGGGATCGCTTGGTGGTCCAGTGCTCACCTGGCATGTGTAAGGCCCTGGGTTTGATCCCTGGTACTGGAAAGAAGGAAGGAAAAACAAGAAAAGAGAAAAAATGGGGGTGGGGTCAGGCTAAGCAGTCCGAGCAGTTAGCAACTGCAAGGCCAGGCTAAGACTGCTTCTGGGTGTTGCAGGCCGTGTCCCTTTTCTGTGGCATCTGGCTGCCAGATCCGGGCCAGCATCAGGACTGATGCTAGGGAGACCGCGCTTGCATGTTAACTCCACTGTCAACCTGGACACCTCTCTTCCCTCCTGTGACCAATGTATTCAGCAAAAACTGGGTCACTGAATTGTAGAAACTGCAAATTTGGTCACAAATGTATCTCTTAATGTTAAAAAAGAACTTCTCAGCTTCCTTCTCCGGGGTAGAATATGAAAGCACTCCTCTGTTGCACCCAAAGGACTCAGGGCTTGCCATGTGCGAGGCCCAGGGTCCGGTCCCCAGCACTGCAAACACGAGAAACAAAAAACTAAATTTTTGTCCAAATTTCTGGGGAAGGAAAGATAATAATCTCACAATTATTGAGAGTTATATAAGAATGAATTTAAAGGAATTTATAGCAGCAAATTCTGTCAGTTCAAGGGTGTAAGATTCAAAATTTAAGTCAAGTGTGGCTGGGACAGCTGAGCAGCATGGCGCTGCTGCGTGTGCACAGGCTCTGGCTTCAATACCCAGCCCTGAAAAGAAATTCCGAAAAGAGATGTTTTGAATTAAGTCATGCTTCTTCCATCAACTTCCTGAAGGTACCTGTTGTAGAGACTTGGGGAATTTAGGAAACTTCCTAAAGCCAATTTTGTTTCTCTAAGAAAATGAAACTTTATTTAGTAAAACCTTTAAAATACTCAATATATTAACATTTTTACTTTTTTGTTTTTCCTTTCCCGCCAAAATAATAACCATAATTACCAGTGCTTTGGTACAGGCACCCATCAGGCCTTGGAAGCGGCCCTGGGAGGAGGGAAGGGGAGAGACAGATTCCGAGGGGAGCGGCTGCTCACCCAGGTGCTGCTTTGTATTCTGTCCTCTGCCTCCTCTGCCACCCAGCGACACCCTACACCCCACACCCCGTTATGGATGAATTCTTAAACTAAGAAGAAAATGAAACCAGGATAAAAGCAAAAACTTTGCTTTTGCATCAATCTGCAAATGATAAACTCTGGAGGAAAGAATTCTTGCCAACAGAACCACAGTAGGACAACAAAAAGCAGGTGTTAACTGAGCCTGCAGAGCCGCAGGTGAGCGCTGTCCCTGCTGAGGCGCAGTGAGCCCTGCGCCCCATTTCTGTTTCCCCTCAATTCAGTTCGCACTCCCTCGGCCCACGCTCTCTCCAGCCTCTGACCGCCACGGGGTTTCCCACAGCTCCGTCTTGCGCGTCTCCGCCTGCGCTGATCTCCAGGACACCGCGGTGCTGCACCTGGGAGCGGCGGAGGCTGAGCGCTGCGCTCAGGAAGCGGCGTCCAGGGCCACGCGCAGGACCTCCTTGTGGAAGCTGGCCTGCGCCTGCACCAGGTGGAACAGGCTCAGGAAGCCTCTGTTGTCCTCCTCGAGACCTCCTTGGGGGACAGCGGGGGATGATGGGGGGGGTCAGTCAGCGGTTTCCACGTGCGCCTTAGGAACGCGAGGTTCCAGTTGGCCTGAGGCGCACAAGACTTTCTGGCCCTGCGCCCCACCCACCGGGATGATGGAAGGAGTACTTGACAACATTGGGCTGGAAATCAGAGGGAAAAGACACTGGTCCCTGCTTTATTACTTCTAACTTAATGACCTTGGGCAAGTCGGGTAGTTTCTCTGAGGTTTATTGTTCTCATCTGTAAAACAGGCTTTGCCAGGCGTGGTGGCACAGACCTGTAATCCCAGCACTCGGAAAGCTGAGGCAGGAGGATCACCACAAGTTTGAGGCCAGCCTGGGCTACATAGTGAGACCTTGGCTCAATAAAATAAAATAAAATAAAATAGAGTTCATTATGATGTGGGCCAACAATAAAACTATACAATAGTATTTATTGAAAACTGATACAAATATCAGATATAATACTGTGATGGTTGGTGAGTGAACAAATTTAAAAAATTTTATTGTGTAAAACTGGAATTAGTTCTTTTCAGAGCAGACTGTTCAACTTTACATTCTCCATGAAACCAATACCAGATTTAAAAATGACAAATAGGGCCGGGATTTAGCTCAGTGGTGCCGCACCTGCCTCACAAGTGCAAGGTCCTGAGTTTGATCCCTGGTACCAAAAAAGAAAAGAAAAGAAAAAAAAGACAAATGCCAGGAACCAAAAATACCTCACGGAAAAACAACAAAAATCTGCTCCTTCTATTGTAAGTTTAGAAATAAGGGTCTACACAGACCTAGCCCTGTCGTTTTTGTTTTGTTTTGTTTTGTTTTGTTTTGTTTTGTTTTGAGCCAGGGTCTTACCGTGTGGCCCAGGCTGGCCTCCAACTCCCAGGGATCCTCTGGCCTCAGCCTCCTGGGATGACAGGCGTGTGCCCGACGTCCCTAGCGCTGTGTGAAGTAGACCCTAGGATGCACTTTTCCCACCCCCGCGCTCCCACTCACCCGACATCACCGACTGCAGCATCTCCATCGTCACGCAGGCAAACGTGTTGGCCACATTCTCCAGGAAGTTCACGCGTTCCGCCGGGGTGCTGAAGACATGGCTGACTCTCTGCATCATTCTCACCGCCCAGTCCATGCAGTAGAGCTCTTTCTCGCACACCTGATTTAGACACACAAGCGTCGCTGTAAACCTCCACGCCAGCAAAGCTGCTAGTTGGGACGTACGAGACTTATCACACGGCGCCTCGCTGGCTGTGTAACTGGGGGTGCTCTTGGAGCTCGCGGTCCTTTGCATTCAAGTGGTGCAATTTTAGTGGAAAAACAGAAATAATAATAGCCTAGGTTAAGGTTATCAGAGTATAATTTGTAGATTTAAGGAACAATATTGAAAAACTAACAAGCGCATGGAAAGTAAGGCTTCTGTTCGTCCAGTCACCCTGTGAGCATGGATTGAGCAACTCTGTGCAAGGGGCCCACAGTGCGAGGCCGCAGAGTTGGCGAGCAGCTGGAGCGGAGCACAGCTCAGGGGAGCCCTGCCTCGGCCCGGGGTGCAGGCGCCCGAGCGTGGACCCAGCACTGCTGCTGCTGCTGATAGCGATGATGACTTGTGTACAAAGCCTGATTAGTCTGTGGAGTCACTCCTCTCCCGCCCTGAATAATCCGCTGTCACTCTGTGCCTGATGACCTCCTCTTATTCTCTCTCTCTTTTTTTTTTTGGTACCGGGGATCTAGCTCTGATCCTTGCGCTTTCAAGGCAGGCGTCGGAGCCACTGAGCTAAATCCCCACCTCTTACATTGGTTATTTTAAAGCAAATCAAAAGAGTATTTTCAGCACAGTGGCACCGAACCTGCCTTGCAAGCACAAGGACCTGAGTTTGATCCAAGGTACTGCAGAAAAAAAAAAAAAGAAAAGTATTTTCTTCAAAACAGAGTTTTAGATTAGCATGGTAGAACACTCATCTACCATGAGCCAGGCCCTGGGTTCAATCTCCAGCACTGAAAAAATGGAATTAAAAAACAATAAGTTGTCAGAACTAGATGTGATATGGGAGGAATTTACTGTAAGGAATGATTCCAAATATTATTGTTTATGACTTGAATTTTATTTTTCATTTTTGCAGTGCTGGGGATAAAACCATGCCCTTAAGGGGACTAGGCAAAAGCTCTACCACTTTGAGAAGCTCTATAGTTTGAGAAAGGAACATTAAACAACACTTCAGTAGGTTTAGTTCACATTTCAGTTCCTGCAGGCAGCTCCCTGGTAGGGTGATTCCTTCCATTTTGTTTCTATCTTTATTTTGGTGATGCTGGGGACAGAACGCAGGGTTGGTGCATGCTGGCAGTTGCTCCACCGCTGAGCTGCACCTCGGCCCCGCTGCAGTGTGAAAAGAATTGCAAGCAGAAAACCTTAGCTTGTACTCACCAAGGCCAAGAAGACGACAAGCCGAGCCAGCTCCAGGGCCCGTCCGTTCACAGCCTTACTAGCCATGAATGTGAAGCAGATGTTGTTCCCACTGAGGATCAGGAGGTGTGCATTGTTCTCCAGCAGCCACTCTCGGGGAACCACTTTGAGGGAGGGAGAGGGGTCACTGAGAAATCACACAACAGTGGTGGCAAACACCTTGAAATACGTGCAATATTACACTGCTTTATGGGAAACACTCAGGAAAATGTTTTTATTTTTTAATTACAGCATTCGCCCAGAGACAGGCTATTAGCATGTCGAGGTGACTCACACAGACAGGCCAGTGACACAGTCACAACGCTTCCCCTGCGCGTCTGTTGGCAGGCAGGGCGTGTAATCTTGTGTAAGGGGGGAGCCCTGCACACTTCGGGACCTACGGTGCTACTCGGGCAGGAGAAAGCTGTTTCACCTGTCCTGTGCTAGCAGCAGGGGGGTTTCTTCCTAACCTAGAAGGGTGTTTCCAAGGACTGGTGAAATAGGAATAAGTGAGCTAATTAAACTATACAGCTTTTGGGGGTTTTTTGTTGTTGTTCTTTTTGGTTTTGGTTTTTGAGACAGTCTCACCATGTAGTCCAGGCTGGCCTAGAACTCACAGTGATCCTCCTGCTTCAGCCTACTGAGTGCTGGGATTACTGGTATGTGCCACCATGCCCAGTTTAAATCTTTGAATAATAATGATAAATGTGTATTTCTGAAATAAAGATGTATATGCCTTCTCCAAAGTAGTGCTAAACCCTACAAATTTTGGAGCAGTCAGTGATTTCTAACAGGCCCTTCACTTTTACACATTGAATTGTCCTTACACTGTTATAATCATAACCTGATAGCGAATCTTTACTACTCTCTATTAGCAAATACATATTTTACCTGACAGTTCATCTATAAGACTGATAATATCATCCGCTGTCCACTCTCTGGTACCTGTATCATACAGTAATTTAATAGCATCAGCCAAACCTTTCAGACTGGGTTCATCTGTAGGGGCTTCTGTCATTTTCTGCCAAACCACCAGTCCTGAATTGAGACAAAAACAAGGCTATGATGGAATAATTCACTGTGTGATAAAGACTTCAGGTATCATTTAACACTGTCCCATCACCTTGAACCACCGGTGGTACATACATTACTATCCCATCGGGCAGCTTGTACCACTGATGGTACAAATGGATCTAATCACTTTTATTGGTCTTTTTACTGCGTGGTAGGCTGAGGCAGGAGGATTGTTGAATTTAATGTCAGCCTGGGTAATTTAGCAAGATCCTGTCTCAAAATAAAATATTTTACTTCATTTTTTTTTTTTGTACTGGGGATCGAACTCGGGTCCTTGTGCTTTCGAGGCAGGTGGTGGAACCACTGAGCTAAATCCCTGGCCCTCCAAAATAAAATATTTTTAAAAAGAGCTGGAGCCGGGGATTTAGCTTAGTGGTTCCACCGCCTGCCTCACAAGCACAAGGTCCCCAGTTCGATTCCCAGTACCAAAAAAAAGAAAAAGCTGGGGATAAAGCTCAGTGGCAGAGCATTTGTCTAGCATGTGTGAGGCCCTGGATTTAATCTCCTGCACTGTAAAAAGAGAAAGAAGAAAAGGAAGAGGGGGAGGAAGAAGAGGAAGTGGATTGCATAATGGAAACTCATTACTTATAAAAAGTCAGTTCTGGTAACAGTAAACATTTAAATGTTTCTTTTTATTTACTTATTTTTATTTTTGGGTTTTGTTTTGGTTTTTTTGCGTGGTTTTTTTTGCAGTACTGGGATCCAACTCAGGACCTTGTGCTTGGAAGGCAGGCTCAGCACCACTGAGCTAAATTCCCAGCCCTATTTTTTAAGACAGGGTCTCTCTATGTAGTTCAGGCTGCCCTTAAACTCACTAGCCAGCAAACTGGCTTCAAACTCTTGGCGATCCTCCTGGCTCAGACTCACAAGTGCTGGGATTACAGGTATGCACCTCCATGCCTGGTTTAAATTTAAATATTTCTGAGAGCCTGGGATTTAGCTCAGTGGTTCTGCCACCTGCCTCATAAGCAATAGGTCCTGAGTTCGATCCCTGGTACCAAAAAAAAAAAAGAACATGTAAATATTTCTGGTTCTATCCCTGGTACCAAAAAATTTTTTTAAAAATATTTCTGGGGCTGGGGATTTAGCTCAGTGGTTTCGCCGCCTGCTGCGCAAGCGCAAGGACCTGAGTTCGATCCCCGGTACTAAAAAAAAAATATATATATATATATATATATATATATATATATATTTCTGGCCAGATGTGATGACTCATGCCTGTATATCCCAGCCCTCGGGAAGCTGAAGCAGAATTGTTGTGAGTTCAAGGACAGCCTGGGCTTACATAGTGAGCCCCTGTCTCAAAAAACCAAAACCAAACAAACAAATAATGTTTCCTACTGCTAATGATAAAACACAGAAACAAGTAGCTAAACAAAGTTAAAAAGGGTAGTTTCACCACATAGAATGGTACTCTTGGTTCAAAGATGATCTTACCCCCTAACAGAAATTGCTATAATCTTACTAAAACAAAATAAAACCTACTGATAACCTCCTCCTAAAAAAGAGCAGGCTGTATTTGAGAATCTTTCAAACATTTATATATATATATGTGTGTGTGTGTGTGTGTATTTTTCAAACATTGATATTAAAACAGAGCAATTCAGTCAATTTTGGATTATTTACTTATGGCTAATGCTCTGTGTACCACATAGAACAATGGTTTTTTTTGGAGATGGGGGTCTCATTGTTTTGCCTGGGCCTGTTCTTTGGTCTCATACTTGTGAGTTCAAGCAATCCTTATGGCTCAGACTTCTGAGTAGTTGGATTACAGGCATGTGACCCCATACCCAGCCATACAACAAAATTTTAATCCCAGATTGACTCTGCTGTTACTCAACATACTTTAGATTGGTCACACCCTAGCTGGGTGTGGTGGCAAATACTTGTAATCTGAACACTCTGGGAGGCTGAGATAGGAAGATTGTGAGTTTGAGCCCAGTTTGGGCTATTTAGTGGTTTACCAAAACCTTGTCTCAAAGTAAAAATTTTAAAAAGGGCTAGGGATGTAGCTCAGCTGATTTGATACCCAGTGTTGCAAAAACAAACAATCAAACAAATAAACCAAGAATTCCTGTTTTTTGTACACTTACACAGTAAGATTTTCACATTCAGATTTGTTTTTTCAGTCATAGGGATTGAAGTGAGGACCTTCATGCTGAATTACATCCACACCCCACATTATGTTTCATTTTAAGGCAAGCTCTTGCCAAGTTGCCAAATTTCCTAGGCTGGCCTCAAACTTGCAATTCCTGCCTCAGCCTCCTGGAGCACTGGAATCACAGGTGTGCAGCACCTGCCCAGATCGGCCCATTAATCTGTATTCCCAGTATGCACCAGTGCAAAAGATGTGGGGAAAATCACACTCCACAACTAAGACGAAGTGAACCATCAGTCTGATCACTACTCTGCCTCTTAATACTTAATTCTCTCCAATGGTAAATATAACCTTGAGTTAAAATAATGTTTAGGGGCCAGGGATTTAGCTCAGTGGTGCCACCACCTGCCTCAAAAGCGCAAGGTCCTGAGTTTGATCCCTGGTACCCCCCCGCAAAAAAGATAATGTTTAGGACTGAGCTGGACATGGTGGGGCATACCTGGAATCCCAGAACTTGGGAGGCTGAGGCCGGAGGATCACCAAGAGTTAGAGGCCAGCCTGGGCTACACAGTGAGTTCAAAGTCAGACTGAACTACAGAGTGAGATTCTGTCTCAAAAAACAAAAACAAGGGCCAGGGATTTAGCTCAGTGGTTCCGCTGCCTACTGATCCCCCGTGCCAAAAAACAAAACCAATAACAAAAAGAGATAATGTTTAAGACTAAAAAGCAGTTACTTCAGGCAATCCAGGATGATGAATATGTTTGGCAATATCTTACAACAGTTTCTGCCTTAAAGCTTAGGTTTGCACAAGTTAATGTAGCATGGACCTATGAAATCATGAAACACAGTTTAGTCATTAAGAATCATGAAACCCACCAGTTACAAAATACACATCCCTGAAAAATAGGTGCTCACCATCCTGAGGTGATGTTGGCCCAAAAATGATATACAGTAACCGTGCCTGATTCACCATTGGCCATGGTTTTAATATTCGTGTCAGCCAGAAAGCTGAATCGCTTTGATGTATCCAGTGATCAAGCAGGACATTCCTACAGAATAGTCTGATCCTTAATTCCAGTTTTCGGGCACTTCCTGTGAAGACAAAAATTGTCAGCCATTTTTCTAGAAAGGCAGATTGCATACTGGGCGGTGATCAGAGGGACACATTAACGACTGTGGTTAAGACAATAATCATGAACTGGGTTTCTGAACAGGAAGTCACCAAGAGATTATCCTTTTTTTTTTTTTTGGTACTGGGGATCGAACTCAGGTCCATAGCTTTTGAGGCAGGCGGTGGAACCACTGAGCTAAATCCCCGGCCCTGAGATTATCTATTCTTAAACTGCCCTAATTTTGAAGTTCAAAGATCTTCTTATCCTTATCTTCTTATTTATATTTAATACTCTGAATAACGAGCCAGTCAAAACACATGCTTAAGTTTACGTCTCTTCTGCAATTTTAGATTTCAAAAGAAATAAGTGCACAGGCACTTCAAAGACATAATATCACCAATATACTTTGTTCTGAAAGCACTGCTCCGTTTTCTTCCATAAAACTTTAGTTTTATTGAGATATAATCTACATACCATACAATTTACCCCCTTACAGTGTTTTGAGTGTGTTCACAGATACATCCAGCCATCCCCACAGTCAATTTAAAAATTTTTCATAACTTCAAAAACTCCTTTTTCCTTTTAGCTATCATCCCCTATCTCTTGGTACTTTATCACCCCCAGCTTGAGCAGCCAATAACCTACTTTTTGCCTCCACAGATTTCAGCCTCTTGGATTTCCATGAGTAAAAGCACATAGCATGTGATTTTTTTGGGACAGCCTTGTCTCACTCAACATAGTGTTTTCGAGGCTCACCCATGTTGTAGCCTGTATCTGTACTCTTTTTTTTTTTTTTTTTGGTACCGGGGATCAAACTCGGGTCCTTGTGCTCGCACAGCAGGCAGCAAAACCACTGAGCTAAATCCCCAGCCCTTGTATTTGTCCTCTTAATGGCCAAGTACTGCTCCCTTGTATGGATGGACAGTTTGTTTACCCCATCATCCACTGATGGGTATGTGGGTTATCTCTACATTTTAGCTACTATAAATAACACTGCTGTTAACACTTGCTTAAAGTTTCTGCATGAACATGTTTCCATTTCTCTTATAGGCAGACCTAGGAGGGGCTGCTGGGTCATATGGTAACTGTGTGTTTAGTCAGCGGAGGAACTGTGGACTGCTTTGTGCATTCTTGTCAGCAAGAGGTTTCTGATGTTTCCTCCTACTTGTTAACATTTGTTATCTAATTTTTTGATTCTAGCCATCCTAGTGGATATAAAATGGTATCTCATTATGTTTTCTGGGGAGGCTGATGCAGGAGGATGGGGAGTTCAAGGCCAGCCAGTGTGACATAGGGAGTTCAAAGCCAGCCTGAGCTACACGAAACACAAACATACAAACATACACACACACACACACACACATGAAACAGTTCATTGGAATATAATTTACACACCATACAATTCTCTAGCTTAAAGTGTATAATGTGAGCTGGGGATGTGGCTGTGTGGCAGAGCATGTGGTTAGCATGTATGAGGCCCTAGGCTCAATCTCTAGCACCAAAAAAAATATAATGTATATGTTAATGTTTTTTATGGGATTGTTAACTTTTTAAAATTGTGGCAAAATATGTAACATAAAATCTGCCATTATATTCATCTTTCAGTGTACAATTCAAAGATATCCATTATATATACAACACTGTTCAATCATCATCTCTATCCATTCCCAAAACTTATTCATGCCCTTAAATACAAACTCCAGAGCAATGAAAAGCCATAATTTCCTGTTCACTCCCAGCCCCAGGTGACCACTGAGCTGTGCCTATGAACAGGGGTGTCATAGGTGTCTCAAGCACAGTGGCTCCTTGGTCCTCATCACTTATGGTCCCCAGAAGTGTGATGAGCACCAGAAACTGTTTTGGCTAGAAAGGCTGTCAAGCCAGGAGGCAGTCAACACTGACAAGTGCTAGCTTGCCCGTCAAGTAGCAGACAAACAAGGAGAACCAGGATAAATGTTCAACTCAAGATGTGTCAAAGGGCTGGGGATTTAGCTCAACGGTTCTGCCGTCTGCCTTGCAAGCACAAGATCCAGAGTTCCCTCCCCGATACCAAAAAAAAAAAAAAAAAAAATGTGTTGAGGACCAGATTCGATGCTTTCAAAGCAGTAGAGAACCAGGGCACTGCTGTAAGCAGAACTATGCAACATGTGCCCTTTTTGTTCCTGACTTTTCATAATGTTTGCAAGGCTTAGATGTGCTGTAGCATAGATCACATTTTTGCATATTGTTCATCTATGGAACTGGGGCTGTTTCTGCTTTTCAGCTATTGTGATTAATGCTGAAATAAACAGTGTACAAGTATCTGCCCAAGTCCCTGACCTCAGTTCTATACCATATATATCTAGGAGAATCATCTGGGGAATCATCTGGCAATTCTGTCTTTAGCCTTTTGAGGGACAAACTGTTTTCCATAGTGGCCATACCATTTTACATTTTACAGTATTTATACTCTACTTATTGTAGATCAGACACTTATAAGGGGAAAGTCTAAGTCTGGAGGTGTACCTCAGTGCCAGAGCACTTGCCTACCATGTGTGAAGTCCTGGGTTTGACCCCCAGCACCACAAATAAATCAATTAATAAACTGAGGCCATATCTAGTACCTCCCTGTTGTATCAAACCAAGTAACCCAAGATATGAGTTTAGAGGGAAGAAGTTATTGCACGCCTGGGAGGTCAGGAAAATTTTGGGGTTTTTTGGTACTAGGGATTGAACTCAGGACCTTGAGCTTTTGAGGCAGGCCCCAGAACCACAGTTTGTTTTGTTTTTGTTTGTTTGTTTGTTTGTTTGTTTTGGTGCTGGGGATTGAACTCAGGTCCTTGCACTTAACCACTGAGCTAAATCCCCGGCCTAGGAAAGGTTCTAAGAGGAGGAAGGGGCCTTGGGCCATCACGGAGAAGAAGAGAAGGTGTTTCAGGAAAGCAAGAATGAGGGAAGAAAAGGTATTGAGCTGCAAACAGGTAAAGAGGGTCTGAGACGCAGTGAGTAGGGAGAACAGAACACTTCTGTCGAGCTGATAGAGTAGTGAATAGGAAGTTTGAAAAAGTAGGTTGGGACCAGAATGTGAGGGACAGTGTAATCTGGACTTTATTTTGAAGTTGTGCAGGAGCTAATAAAAGATCAAGGGAGAAACCTGATAAGCTAATTTCGTTATCAGTTCATCTGGCTTCTAAATCTCCCAGTGGTGGTACACACCTGTGATCCCAGCACTCAGGAAACTGAGGGAAGGAGGATCACTGGATTCGAGGCCAGCCTGCACTACACAGTGAGTTTATTTTTATTGTATTTTAATTTTTTTAATAGTAGAAAAATTTATTGAGAGAAAGACAGCTTCTATCTAAGAGAGACAAAAGGGGGAAAATTGTTTTGTATGTTCTTTTTTTCCTGGTATTGGGGATCAAACTCAGGACCTTGCATTGCCAAGCAGGAGAGGTGCCACTCAGCTACATCCTGGCCTCTGCATAGTGAGTTTAAAGCCAACCTGAAATACATGGTGAGACCCTGTCTCAAAAACAACAACTGAAAATTTTCCTTTTTGATTTTATAATGAAATATTTCAAGTTGATAGAAAACCAGAAATTCTATAACAAGCACTGTGAACAAATCATCTAGCTTTGTCAAAACACTACTTTCTGTTATGCTTGCTTCAGATTTTAAACAAAACATAGATTTTAAAGCCCCTACCCCATAGTGGGCAGGGATCCCAGGTGGTTTCACCCCTGGGCAACACCCCCAACCCTGTTTATTTTCTATTCTTCTTTTTTTTGGTACCAGGGATTGAACTTGGGACCTTGCACTTGCGAGGCAGGTGCCAGAACCACTGAGCTAAATCCCCAGCCCTAACCCTGTTTATTTTGAGACAAGGTCTGGCTCCACTGCCCAGGCTGGCCAGCAATGTTCGATCCTCCTTGTCAGCCTCCCCAGGGAATCACATACATACACAATGTCTGTACACCGACCATTCGTATACATGTGTGGGGTGGGGAGAATGAGATGGATTTATCTGAAGCAACTGGTGGTCTGGTGAGTCTGAAACCCACAGGCAGCCCAGCTGGCTGGAGACCGGACAGAGCCTGCTGGGTCCAAGGGTGTCTGCAGTACCTCACAGGTGGAATCCTTCGAACCTGACCTCTTGAGGGCCCCACGCCCTGGAAGGGAAATCTGCTGGACTCAAAGTCTACTGACTTAAATATTCATTTCATCTGAAAAATACCTTCACAGAGCCAGAATAATGTTTGACCAAGTATGTGGATATTATTTCCAGCCAAGATGAAATAAAAATTGTTTTTAAACTATAGTGGACCCTTGAGTCACGACTGGCCTGATACATGGACAACTTGGGTTATGACCGGGATTTTAGTTTTAACTTATGACCAAAGTCTTGAATTATGACTGAAATGCCAGCTGCTTGTTCTTCCAGATGGTCTCAGACATAGATTTAACCCTTAGAGTTCTGGAAGGAACATGACAACGTCCTTTCCTGTGTGGTGTTCATTGAGAAATCCTGGGCCAGTGTCTCTCTAAGGACTCTGAGATCCGCCTGTACACAAGAGAGAGACTTGGAAGGCTGTGTAGAGGAGCCTGAGGCATCAATTGACCAACTTGAGTTACAATCAGCCCTTGGGAATTAATTGAGTTCATAAGTCAAGGGTCCACTGTACTGTCTCTCTCCTGGCTTCTTCTCCAGGGTCTTTGTACTGAGCTAAATCTGGAGCTCAATTTTTTTATTTTTTTGGTACCAGAGATCAAACTCAGGTCCTTGCCCTTGCGAGGCAGGCGGTGGAACCACTGAGCTAAATTCCCGGCCCAGAGCTCAATTTTTTAAAAAATGCTTTTTTTAACTTTTGAAACAAGGACTCATTGTTACTATGTTGCCCAGTCTGGGGTTGATTTTGAGATCCTCCTGCCTCAGCCTCCCAGAGTACTGGATTACAGCATGCCTATTTTAATCTCTATATGATATCTGTGAATTGCAGTTCTTTACCTGGTTTGCTACAGACAACAGTTTGCATCTTGCGAGAGAGGTTGGTCAACTCACATAAGAAGTTATAAACGCGCTGGCATTCACGGTCATCCCAACCTGCTGTCAAGGTCTGAGGAAGGTAAGATAAAGGAAACATTGCAGATGTTTAGAGCACAAGTCAAAATATAAGCCATTACTTCTTTACGAGCAGACTGCTGTGCAGTTTTTAACCCAGGATGGAGGTGTTTAAATTAATATGAAATTCACAGAATCAAAACCGAGATGTACTCCAAAACCAGTTTCTTTTTGGTTGAAAAGGAAGTATCTTTTCAAGGTACTTTTATTTTATTTTATTTTATTATTTTGGTACCAGGGATCGAACTTGGGACCTGCACTTTTGAGGCAGGCGCCGGAACCACTGAGCTAAATCCCCAGCCCCCAAGGTACTTTTAAATGGTACTGAATCCTGAACTTTGATAATATGAGGAAAATAAAGTAAGGCCAAACCCCTAGACCACAGCTTTAGACCCCTCCTTCACACTGTGTCTCAGTTTTAGGATGACAGTAGAACCTTTGACTGCCCTGTCTGATGTTGTTTATGAATGATAATGATCTCATTTTAATGTGATAATTTTGAACATTTTTTTATGACTCTTGGATTTGAACAACTAAAAAAACTTTCATTAGGCCAAAATTTAATAACTATCCTTGTACACAGTAACGTGCACAAATTACGCATACATGAAAAGGAAATTCAAGTGATATACAACTATAATTAGATTCTGAAAGGGTTTTTTTGGTACTGGGGATCAAACTCAGGACCTTGAGGTTGTAAGGCAGGCGGTGGCACAACTGAGCTAAATCCCTGGCCCTGAAAGTTTGATTAATCACATAAATTTTTCCTAAAATAATTAACTGGATTCAGTGGTTTAAAAATTAATCTTAGGGGGCCGGGGATTTAGCTCAGTAATTTCACTGCCTGCTGCGCAAGCACAAGGACCCGAGTTTGATCCCGTGTACCAAAACAAAAACAAAAACAAAAAATTAATCATAGGTCCCTAGTACAAAAAACTTATAATAATCTTATTCTCTCTGGAGGGAGAGAGAAACTAGTAACAGTGATTACTTTTGGTGAAGGGAAATCAGTAGATGAGGGACAGGCCTAAGAGGGAGTTTAACTTTTCATTTTATATACTTTGTAACTTTTGAATTTTATGTGAAGTCTTGTGTATGCATTTTCCTATTTCAAGAAAAGAAATAAAGACATAGACAAATTGAAAAAATAAAAAGTCTGTGTTGGAGGAGGGTAAAAGGAGGCTCTGGAATCTGGGTGTGTGGAACTTGGTGGCTGGGAGGCCAGGGCCAGTTCAGGCCTCTTAGGGGTAGCATCACCTCCTGCAGTGGTTTCAGCTTTAAATGAGATAACGCATGTACAATGTCTGGCTCATATCAGGGCTTAATAAATGCTGGTTATTATATTTTTCTTCTTTTCTTTTCTTTTTGTTTTTTTTTGGTGCCTGGGATTGAACCCAGGAATACTCTATATCTCTAGCCCTTTTTTCATTTTGAGACAGGGTCTTGCAAAGTTATTTAGAGAGGCCTAGAACTTGTGATCCTCCTGTTTCAGCTTCTCAGGTAGCTGGGATTACAGAAGTACAACACTGCACCTGCTATTTTTATCTTCTTTGTTCACAATAAAAAGTCAGTAAAAATATTCTTCAAAACACACAGTTGATTTCTGAACCCACACCTTAAATAACTAGACCAAGAGCTTAAACTCATGATATCTATACATCAAAACACATATACGCTAACCCATAGTGTTTCTAGTCTTCACAACTGGCTGGAAACTTTGAGGACATTGGCATAGAGGAAATAAATGTTAAAGATTTCTTTTTTTTTTTTTTTTGGTACTGGGGACCGAACTCAGGACCTTGCACTTGCAAAGCAGGCAGTGGAACCACTGAGCTAAATCCCCGGCCCTTAAATGATAAACATTTCTTATAAGCTAGAAACTGAAGAAGAAAATCTGAGATGGCAAACACACTATTAAGACATTCTCAAATTTTACAATTTTCTTTTGTTCTCTTTAAGAGTATTATAACTTCTATTTGCCAGGCGTAGTGGCGCAGGCCTGTAATCCTAGCACTTGGGAAGCTGATGCAGGAGCCTGGGCTACACAGTGAGTTCAAGCCCAGCCTGAGCTATGTAGCAAAATCCTGTCTCAAAAACAAACAAACAAACAACACTTAAACTTCTATTCTGTTAACTACAAAAGGATAGATTTCACACTCTACTTGTTATTACTTGAAAAGCATTTCTTTCCTGCTTTCACTAAAACATGTACCTGTAAAATCATGCCATAACATGATAATCCTAAGCACTGCATGGGAGCTGCACAGCCATTGAATTTAAAACAGGCAACCTGTAAAGAGAATAATTGTTAATTCTGCCTTTCCTGAGAATCTGTACAATGATTTGACATTCAAATTTTTTTTTTTTGGTACTGGGGAACGAACTCAGGTCCTTGGGCTTGCGGGGGGGCGGGGGGGCTGGGAGGCGGAACCACTGAGCTAAACCCCCGGCCCCTGACATTCAAATTTAATGGGGATGGGCCAGGGATTTAGCTCAGTGGTTCTGGCGCCTGCCTCGCAAGCTGAGGACCCGAGTTCAATCCCCGGTACCAAAAAAGCCCCCAAAAAGCAAAACAAATTTAATGGGGTTTAGCTCAGTGGTGCTGTGGCCTGCCTTGAAAGCACAAGGTCCTGAGTTCAATCCCCAGTACTGAGGAAAAAAAATTAATGGAAACAACCAAGAATGTTTTCAGTATGTATTCTGATTAGCACTGCGTTCATAGGTTAAGGATCTCACAATTTAAGAGAATAAAATATACACATGTGAAATTGTTATATTTGTATCATAATGTGTATAAATATTAAAGGACTGAATAAATACTGTATTAGACAATATGAAAACAGGGAAAATATTAACCTGAGAATGATCAAAAAGTTTGTAAGGGCCTGTGATCCTAGCACTCCGGAGGCTGAGGCAGGAGGATTGCCATAAGTTCGAGACCAGCCAGGGCTACATAGTGAGTTCAAGGCCAGCCTGAACTATATAGCGAGATCCTGTCTCAAAAAATAAAAAAAATAGGGCCGGGATTTAGCTCAGTGGTTTCGCCGCCTGCTGTGCAAGTGCAAGGACCCGAGTTCAATCCCGGGTACCAAAAAAATAAAAAATATAAATAAATAAATAAATAAATAAATAAATAAATAAATAAAAAGTTTGTAAAAAAAAAATGTTTGTGAGGGAAATGTGAAAGAAGTAATGCTTTCAGGTAGGACTTGGGTGTGATGAATGGAAAGCACTGGAGTGGGAAATGGCGAAGTCAAAACTGTATGGAGGTAAGAATAGACAATGTTTGTTGTAAGGAAGATGTGACCAGGTGAATTAGGCTCAAAGTAGAGAAAATAAGCCTACAATTGAGGAGAATCCCTAATATAAGCTTTGAATCTTGAGTCCTATTTTCTAAATGTGAGTAATCACAGAAAGATTTTCCTTTTTTGGTAGCACTGGAAATTGAACCCAGACTCTTGTACAAGGTAGGCAGGCATTCTATCACTAAGCTATACCCCCAATACTTTATTTTGTATTTTGAGTCAGGGTCTTGATAAATTCCCCAAGTTGGCTGGAACTTGCCATCCTCCTGCCTCAGCCTCCTGTGTAGCTAAAATTATAGATGTGTACCACCAAACCAGCCTCTGAAAGATTTTAAACAAGAAAGTTATTTTGGGAATGGAAAGAGAATTAAAGGTATAAAGCTATGTAGATGTATCAAATCCCCACAATGAATGTAATTATTGTGTATTGGAAATGTGTCCTAATAAAAATAAAAATTAATCATTGTGATGTTTTGAGGGCCTTTGAATTGGTACACAGAATGGTCTGGGGGTGATGAGGTGGACAGCAGCAAGATCATCTGGTGTCTTAGTTACTTTTCTCGTTGCTAAGACAAAATATCCAACACCCTCAAGTTAAGAGAGGAAAGGTTTAGAGTTTGTAGAGGTTTCAGTCCACCATTGGCTGGCCCCAAGGCAGGATGGCATGGTAGAGGGCACTCCAGAGGAGACACAGTTCATGGTGGGCAGAAGGTAGCAAAGCAAGCCAAGGACAAGACAAGCCTCCTTCTGTCCCTTATATTGTATTCAGGTTACCTGGATGAAGGCAATGCCAAGCCAATCAGTGTACTCATTTAGAATCACACAATCTTAATCCCAGCATCACACACTCTAGATTCAGCTAACTCTGAAAAAGCCCCTCTTATGAATGCATGAGGCTTTGGGGGGACATCTAGACCCAAGTCATAACATCTGGGAAGCTGCTGCAATATAAACCAGCACAAGACAAATACTGTGTGGAAGAACACCAGAGAACAGTTTGGATACTCCTGAGGACAGAATGGACCATCTCATTCTATGTATGGTAGGATTTGCATAGTGAAACACAACCTTGTCTGGAGAGATTATGCCCAAAGGCATTGATATATATTTCCAAGTCAGTTATTATGTAAGGTTAAATTAAAAATACTGTCCTGCTGGCTGTGGTGGTGCATGCATGTAATGCCAGCACTTTGGGAAGCTGAGGCAGGAGGATCTCCATGAGTTTGAGGCCACCCTGGGCTACAAGACCTTGTCTCAGAAAACCAAACCAAAACCAACCAAACAAACAAAAGGCTCTTCTATGTTTTCTGTACACTGAAACAGTAAAATTTTAACATTTTTTCAGTACTGGGTACTGAACCCAGGTCCTTTACACCGAGCTACATCCCCAGCCCTTTCTTATTTCTTTATTTTGAGACAAGGACTCACTAAACTGCCAAGGTTGGTCTCAAATTCTTGATCCTTTGCCTCAGGCTCCCAGCTACTGGGATTATAGTGAGGCACCACTGTGCCCAGCTAAGAAATTACTTCATTTTAACAAATATCTATGTCACTACTTTAAGACTTCCTTGGGGTTCCTATGTGGGGTAAAAATACTTTATACAATGCTATTTTTTCTATACATACCTTCCTATGATAAAGTTTAATTCATAGAGTAGGCTTATCAAGAGACTGATAACAACAATAATAATAGATAAATAACAATGTACAATTGCCAACATTATTAATTTTGCACTTTGGAGAACATTATTAGGTAAAATAAGGATTACCTGAGCACAAGCACTGTGATACAATGGCAATGAGTCTGAAAATCCAGATAGTTACTAAGTGATTAGCGGCGGCAGCACGTATAATGTGACACATGGGACAAAGGGACGATTCTCATCCCAGGTGGGAAGGAACAGGATGACAAGAGATTTCATCACACCACTCAGAATGATGCACAATGTGAAATTTATGAATTTACTTTTGGAACTTCCTGCTTACAATTTTCAGACTGGGATTGACTGTGGAGAACTGAACTGTGGTGGTGGGATGCCTGTACTATGCTACTTTTGGTGTCACATAACTTCTGTCTTAGATTATCATTTATCAATTTTTAGGCCTAATACATGAAATTCCTTCAATTAAGGATGTATTTAAATTAAGTATAAGACCACAGTTATAAAGTTACTGAAAATGAAGATTATGGGCCAATCTGGAAGTATGGTCTTACTTCTGAGAGTATCCTGTGAATGCACTTTAGTCTTTCCTTGGTGGGTAGCAGCAACGTACATCTTTTAAATAGTACACCTGAAAAAGAGACAAAGAAGAAATGGTAGTGAGATTCACGTGAGCATATCTGTAGCACAGAATGATGTTTCCACAGTGCACAATGATATAGTTTTTGTTTTTGAGGTCTCCCTGCCCTGTCCTGGGGATTGAACCCAGAGCCTTTGAACTGAGCTATATTTCTAGTCCTTTAAAAAAATTTTTTTTGGTAGCAGGGATTGAACTTGGGACCTTGCGCTTATGGGGCAGGTGGTGGAACCACTGAGCTAAATCCCCAGCTCTCCTTTTTAATTTTTAAAATTTTGATACAGTTCTCTCAAAGATGCTAAATTGCCCAGGTGTGCTTCAACTGGGAATCCTCCTGGCTCAGCCTCCCAAGTAGCTGGGATTATATTACAACCTTGTCTGAGTATGATACAGGTTCTTTTCTTTTATTTCTTTTTTTTTGGTCTTCTGAGACAAGGACTCACTATGTAGTCAGGTAGCCTAGGGTGGCATCAAACTCATGGCAATCCTTCTGCCTCAGCCTCCCAAGTGCCAAGATCACAAGCATGTGTCATCATACCCAGCTATGATACAGCTTTTACAGGAACTTTTGAGAGGAAGAGTACAAAACGCATAAACTGTAAGGCATTCACCAAGTGACCGATGTTCATCTAAGAGAACTTGACACATCTTGTAAAAAAAGTTGTGAAATCAATACTGTAGGACACACATGGAAAGTATTTAGATTTAAAAAGATACAATAATAAGACATAAAGATATGTTAGGGAAGCCATCTTTATTCCATAGAAAAAAGACATGATTATCTTTTGGGGTTTTTTTGGTACTGGGGATTGAACTCGGGACCTCGCACTTGGAAGGCAGGTGGTGGAACCACTGTGCTAAATCCCCAGCCCTGTTATGAGTATCTTTTGAAATTAACCTTATGTCCATAAAGGAAAATATTTTATATATTGTTAATTTAGTAAGACATAACAGAATGGGAAAAGAAGCCAGGCATGCCAGGTGTGGTAAGGCACTCCTGTAACCCCAGCACTCAGGAGGCTGAGGCAGGAGGATAGATACAAGTTTGAGGTCAGCCTGGGATACATAGTGAGTTTAAGACTAACCTGAACTACATAGCATGAGACCTTATCTCAAAAGACCAAAACAAAAAAAAAAAGAAAAGAGATTTTTGTATTCCTTTTTCCAAATACAAAAATTTAAAGTCATAAGTACGTAAACTTTCAGAGATTAAGCCATTTTTGTTAACATAAAGTACTGAATTTGGATTAAATTTCTCTCTCTTCCTTCAAAAATTTCCTTTTATAGAATTTGCATGTTGAGAATATGTAGGATTTTGCAATCAGATGTTTCAAAAAAGGAAACAAACCTTCAATTTTTCAGTAAGATGTGACTTAAACTGCAGCAACAGGAAATGTATTTGTTTTCCCTAATTATTCTGTTTTCCTAAAATGGCAACACACTGTTAGCATTCCTATAAAGTCAAATGTTCTTGAACCAAAAATAAGACACATAGTAGGAAAATACATACCAGAATATCATGACTTTCTTTCAGTTTTCACCTTTTTTGCATTTACTTTTTACTTTTAAAAATTTTTAAATTTTTATTTATTTATTTATTTATTTATTTATTTATTTATTTATTTGGT